CTTCTTCCTCCTCCTCCTCGTCCTCCGCTTCATCATCAACACCGTCATCGTCACCATCATCATCTTCATCATCATCGTCCTCCTCCATCACCCCTCTCCCTCGTCTTCCTCATCCTCCGCCTCCTCCTCCTCCTCCCCCTCCTCCCACTGCCTGCCTGCCCCTTCTCATCCCTCCTCATCGCTAGAGGAAGGTGCGCATGGGACTCTCGACCTCACCACCACGCGAAAAGTTTAAGCTGGGCCAATCCGTGAGCCTCGGGGCTCGAGGCTGGACAAAGCAACTGGTCGTCAGGATTACCTCTTCCCCCGTGCCCCCCTCTCCCCCACGTCTTCTCCGGCCTGGAGGAGTACCAGCAGCAGAAAGAGGAATTTGAGGAGATCGAGGAGGAAGACGGCGACGACGACGACGACGATGACGGCGGCGACGAGGACCGCCGTGATCCTTGCCGTAGTACTCGCGCAACGTCTTAAGCGCAACCTCCACGCCCGAGATGCCCTCCGTGAGCTCCTGGGGCTCCAGACACGACCAGGGGTCCAACTCCTCCTCCTCCTCCTTCCCTCCTCCTCCTCCTCCTCCTCCTCCTCCTCCTCCTCCTCCTCCTCCTCCTCCTCCCCCGTTACTCCTGAGCTAAAGTGCGGTTGGCTTCTCTCGTGACGACTTTTGCACTGGGCTCTGACGCCGCGGGGATCATTCAGCCTTGAGCGACCGCGGCGCACCGATAGCGCGGATCATTCGATGCTGGCCGATGCCAAGACGGTGGCGGCGTTTAGCCTGGAGCGCCCGCGCGGGGGGTGCCGCGGAGTCGGCCCGACACAAGCAGGCCTCCATTGACCACAATGGCTCAAGATGTCTCGAACTTTGTGGGCCCCGGAAACGGCAGGGCCGTTTTTTCATCGCTTCCAAAAAAATATCCCTTGAACATGGAAACGGCAAAAAAACGGCGACCGGAAACGGCAAAAAAACGGCTCCAGGATTGGAACCGGAGCCGGAACCGGTCAAAAAACGGCGACGGAACCGGTAAGAAAACGGCGTCGGAACCGGTAAGAAAACGGCAAGACGGAACCGGTAACAAAAACGGCCCTGTCGTTTCCAGGGCCAACTAAGGTCTCGAGCTGGCTGCGCCAGCTGCCGAGCACGCCAGCCGACAACACCTCATCTAACGACAGACGATGGCGCAGTAATATGGCGCCCTGAAGAGCGCGACCCGTACAACACTGTCATGCTCTCGGTGTCGACGCGTGAGGGCTCGCGCAACCTACGCGCGCAAGCTCCAGGCAAGTCAAATGAAATACCCTTGACGCTCGTTTGAATGCTGGTGAACCGCCAGGCCTGGAGTCGGTCTGGCAACAGTTGGCGATCGGCCCCTACGACAGTCTGCAGCCACTGCGAGCTCGCATATGCGACAAGGGGTGCAACTGGCTCCGAGACGGTTGTCGACCAGATACTGGACGTCCTGGTGCTCTTGCAGTTGCTGTCCAAGGTCCCTTGACGACAGGCCCTGATATTCCCTGACCTGTGGAACACAACTTGACGCTGGACTGCCAGCCAGAGCAGTACGACAAGCCGATGATCCACAACCTGTCACTGCTGATCCACAAACAGAAGGTGACCTGCAGCCTGCTGTTCCCTATGGCGAAACCCACCCACAATGTGCTCATCCACGGCTGGCCGAACTGCAGCCTGGTGCGTCTCCTGTTGTGGCACAGCCTGCTGATCCTCACCCTGCTGGCCCAAGGCCTGGTGATCCAGAACCTGCTATTCCAGTCCTGCCGCCACTGGCCCACGGCGTACGTGCGGCCTGGTGTTTCACAGACGCCGAAGATCATCCACAACTTGCGCATGACCAAAAGCAAACTGATCCGATTGTGCGCCCCTGGAGTCCAATGCAGTCAGAGCCCGTTCGCATGCACCGCACCATGAGGCTGCAATCGATAGAGATCATACGACGGCGAAGATGCAAACTTGACCCCGCCAGCGTCGCTGACCAAATTCCGTACTGCTCCAAGACCAATCAGAAGCGAAAGTAAGGATGCGCCTGCAGCTTTTCCTTGAGGCTCAGCGCGGGAGAGGGATGGTATTAGCCCGCAGCGCATTGGGAGAGACTGAACTGACCATCGCAGAGCAGCAAGTATGCCCACACTTTGCCTGACACACACACACACACACACACACACATCGACTGCAAGGAGGCGGAGGACGAGGCCAAGGAGGAGGGGCGGAAAAGAGCAACATTGCCACGTGGACGCCAGCGTGTCGCCCGCTGCTGAGTGGAAGCCAGCGTGTCGCACTGTGCCCAGGGAGAGGGGGGAGGGGGAGGGGGAGGGGGAGGGGGAGGAGGAGGGGGAGGAGGAGGAGGAGGAGGAGAAGAATAAGAAAAAGAAACAAGCCGCGCAACGCGGTTCGGGCGCCCGCCCAGCCCCCGCCTCAGCGGGGCATCATGATGAAGTAGCTCTTCAGTTTGAAGCGCCGACGCCAAGAGAGTTCTCAGAGTCTGCGGCCTCCGTTTCGCGCCGCGGCCCGTCCCAGTTTCACCTCTGGGCCCTGGCCGCGGCGCTGGCCTCGCCGCAGCCCGTCCCCGTTCCACCTCGGGGCCCTGGCCGCAGGTCATTGGCTGGTCCTCGTCGCCTCGCCGCAGCCCGTCCCCGTTTCACCTCGGGGCCCTGGCCGCGGTTCGTTGGCTGCTCCGTCCGCTGGTCGTGCTCCAGCTTCTTGGCCTTCAGCAGGTCGTACTGCTGCTGTAGCTCCTGCTCCTCCGCCGTCAGCTGGTCGAGCTCCAGCTCCTTGGCGCGCAGCAGGTCGTGCTGCTGCTGTAGCTTCTGCTCCTCCAGCTCGTCGGGCTCCCCCTCCAGGCCGTCGCTGTCCTGGGTGTCGAGCCGCGCGGAGTGGGAGAGCAGCACCCCGCCTTCTGGGAGCCGCCTGGTTCCGCCGACGATGCTGTCGCCGCCGACGGCCGCCTTCCCGTCGAGCTCGGCCTCGTGGAGCGCCCACTCGGCCGCCGCCACCGCCATGGCCTGGTTGAGGATCGCGTCGTCGTCCTCGGTGCCGCCATCCCGCGAGCCGCGATGGCCCAGGCGGCTCTCGGCTTTGCCTTTGACCTCCATGCCGCCTTCGCCGCCGCTGGAGCAGCCGTCGGCATCGTGGGAGTCCTCGTCGTCGACGGTGGAGAGGGCGGCGTACCTCCCGCTCCGGATCTTCGCGCCGTCGATGTCCTTCACCTTGGTGACCTCGCTGGAGAGCGCCATGTTGATCTGCTCGGATGATACAGCTGTGCCGAACAGTCCTGCGCACGGGGGCTGCGGCGCAGAGCCCACGCCATGGACCTTCTCGCCGACGTGATCGGAGCAGTCACGCTGCTGGTCCGCCGCTGCCTGCACGAGCCGCTCGGCAGCTTGCTCATGCTCCGGATCTTGCTGCGCCGAGCCCTTGTCCGCGACCGCCGCGTACTCCGCGACACACGTGGGGCCAGCCGCCGCGCCGTCCGCCTGCCCGCAGCCCGGGTGCTGCGCCGGAGCGGATAGGAGGGGGGAGTCCAGCGGCGCCACGAACTGCGCCGCGCCGACGTCCGCCCAGGTGTGGAGCACGACGCCGATCACCGGCGCGCCCCACCTCGCCAGGCCGCACGAACACCACCAGCCGCCGGCCGGCAGGTCCATCGCGCGCGGCCCGGCCAGCGCTAGTCTCAGCACGAGCAGGGCTCGCGCCGAAACTGGAGGAGGAGGAGGAGGAGGAGGAGGAGGAGGAGGAGAAGGAGGAGAAGGGAGGAGCAGGAGAAAAGGGGAGAAGAGGAGAAGGGGGAGGAAGGAGGAAATGACAGGACAGGTAGGAAGGGGAGAAGGAGGAGGAGAGGGCGGCGGGGGGAGCACGAGGAGGGCGGGGATGCAGCCTGGAAAGCACAGGGCGCGGGGCAGCGCGGGCTGCCTCCGCCGCCTCCGGAGGCCAGGCGTGCCCGCGGCACCGGGCTGCAGCCCCAGAGAGGCCCGCCCGCCGCGCTGGCCGGCGCCTCCCTGGCCATCGCTCGGACGTCCATTTCCCGTGCATCCTTCGGTTTCGTGCGTGGCTTTTCGCCAAATGATCAAGGATGCTCCTGATCAAGGATGCTCCTCGATGGTCCTCGCCGAAGGAAAACTGCACACGTCCGAGCGATGCCGAGCTCCTCGACCGCGGGCCCGCGCGCCAGGCTCCTGCGGCCCCAGGCTGCGCAGGGACTGGCGCACGGACGGCGCGCGGGCGCGCCGCCTGGCGACGCGCCTCGCGATGGCGGGCGCGGACCGCGGTGAGCGCGCCGTGGTGCGCGGGCGGCCGAAGGCCGTCCACACCGCGCGCGGCCAGAAGAAGAAACAGAAACATAATCAGAAATGTTTGGCGCGCCGCGCGGATTTCTCGGATTCGCGCTGGTCCCCCCTCCCTCGCGCGCGGAGCGCGCCAGGGGCCCAGCGCGGATCCAAGAAATCCGCGCGGAGCGCCAGAAGTTTATGTTTATGTGTTTTTGTTCTTCTGCGAGCGGCGATGTTCAGAGAGGCCAGCTCGTCCGCGACGGCCTCGCGTTTTGCCCAGCCTTTCGCGCGGGCACGCCGCCTCGGCAGCGTCTCCCCGCCACACCCGCGGCCTGCACCAACTTGAGGTCGGGCCTGTCCCCCTGCAGAAGGATTGTGGACGAAAAATTAAAAATAGTCCAACAAATAATCCCAACAGATTCGAACATCCCCCAAAATCGTCCCAATATTATTCAATCGCTTCGCTCGGGGCCATTGTGGCGCCGCCGAGGAGGAGGAGGAAGATGAGGATGGGGAAGGGGAGGGGAGGAGGAGGAGAGGATGAGAAGGAGAGGAGGAGGATGAAGATAAGTAGGAGGAGGAGGAGGAGGAGGATGAGGAAGGGGCGGAGGAGGAAGCCTTTCGTTTGCATCTTGTGTTGCTCTTGGGGCCAAACAGGGTCGTCGTCAAGATGCTTCTTTGGGAGGCCTCTTGGGGTCTTTTGAGAAGCCGTTCGGGGGCGCCTGGGAGGCATTGTTGAACATCTGGCGCCTCTTGGGGCCTCTATTGGGCCCCCTGGGGGCCTCTTGGGGCCTCTTGAGGGTCTCTTGGCGGCATCTTGGGGCCTCTTGGGGGCCTCTTGGGGGCCTCTCGGGGCCTCCTGGGGCCCTCTTGGGGCGGAAGGGTCGAGATTTCGGTTCGTGGTCCCCCTCTTGGACCCCTCTTGGGGCCGTCTTGGGGCCGTCTTGGGCCGTCTTGGGCGCCTCTTGGGCCGTCTCGGGGCCCTCTTGGAAGCCTCTTGGCCCGTCTTGGGGCGCTCTTGGGGGCCTCTTGGGCCGTCTTGACGCATCGGATGGCCGAAAAGGCGACAAGGCCAAAATCCTTCCAAAACCATCGTAAGACTGGTGATTTTGGCCTGTCGGGCCCTCTTGTGAGGCCACTTGGAGGCCTCTTGGGCCGTCTTGGGGTCATCATCGGCGTCTTGGAGCGCTCTTTGGGCGTCTCGGGGCCTCTTGGACCGTCTGGGAGAGACCTCTTGGGGCCCTCTTGGACCGATTTGGAGCCCTCTGGGGCTCCGAAAAAGAGTTCCAATATCCTTGAACAGGACTTGCCGGGACCTTGCCGGGACCTTTCCGGGACCTTGCTGGGAGTCTGCCGGGGTACTGTTGGTCCGGGGACCCCCAGGGCCCTCCCCGCGCGCGCGAACTAGAAAGATTGCTTACCAGCTACTGGAGATCTTAGCACGCCTAGGCCCGTTGGGCCGGCGATTTTTTCGCTGCTTATTTTTGAATGCTCATCCTGTCTAGGGACAGGCCCGACTTCACACTAACAAGAAAGCTCCCAATAAGCGACGAAGACCATGATGCGTTTCCGAAGCCTTACGTCGGGCGTGTCCCCCTACAGGCGGGATGTAGGACGAACAAAATAAAAATATCCTAATTCGCTGGCACAGCGGGCCAGAGGCGTGCTAAGATCTTCGGTGGCTGGTAAGCGATATTTCGAATTCGCGCGCGCTGGGCGGGCCCGGGGGGTCCCTGGACCAACAGTACCCCGGCAGACTCCCGGCAGGGTCCCGGAAAGGTCCCGGCAAGTCCTGTTCAAGGATGCCGGGACTCTTGTTCGGAGCCCCAGAAGGCTCATGATCGGTCCAAGAGGGCCCCAAGAGGTCTCCCAGACGGTCCAAGAGCGCCCCGAGACGCCGACATATGACTCCACAGCGCCTGACCTGGCCTCTGGACGGCCCCACAAGCCTTCAAGACGCCCCAAAAGGTCCCTAAGCGGCGTCCCAAGTGGCCCCAAAAAGGCACAAATCGTCACGATCCCTCTGGAAAGCGTACATTTTTACCATAGCCGCGTCGTCGGCTTCCACACCGTGCGAGGCGGTCCAAGAGGTCCCCAATATCGCCGCAAGACGACCCGAGATGATCCCCCCGAGACAGCTCCAAGACGGGCCAAGATAGCCCCGATAAGGCCCAAGAAACCCCCAAGATGGCCCAAGAGGGATCCAGGACGGCTCCAAGAGCGGGCCCAGAAGGGGAATCTGAACGGACATGTCGAGCCTTCGGCCCAAACACGCCCCCCTGGAGGCCCCTACAAGCCCCCAAGAGGCCCCAAGAGGCTCCGAAGAGGCCCCAAAGGAGCCCGAGAAGCCGAACCCCGGGCCGGCGGAATGAGCGAAGCGTTTAATAATACCAGAACAATTGTCAAATTGGTCAAAAAATCGTCCCCAGACATGTTTTACTTTTTCCAATATATATATATATATATATATATATAAGCAAAAAAACATCCTGTAGAGGGACAGGCCCGACTTAACCAAAGCCCTGCGTCACGCCATGGCCACCCAGAAGGAACAATCAACACTGTGGTCTGCGCTCCCGGATCACCGATCCCCGTCAGCATGCGAAAGGTCGAGGTCATGTCGACGACCCTTCTCGGGTGCATTCATGCCGTTTGATGGCTGGCCCTTCGGCCAAAATGATCTCCGCGTTGCCCTCGGACAGGCGGAACTCCCTCTGCCGTCACCCGCCGCAGACTCGGCGGGAAGCTCATGGAACCTCCACGACTCTCGTGGTAATTACAGAAGCCCATAAACCCTTTTGGTTCAGAAGGACCCCTTTACCATCTGCACAGACTTCTTGCCTCATCCTCTTCATCGTCATGCTGCTCCTCATCCTCCATGCTCCTCATCGCCCCATCTTTCACATCCGCGAGTTTGTTGCTTCCGTTTCTCTCTCCTCATCAATCCTTGTTCCCCTCCTCCTTCTTCTCCTGCATGTTTCTGCTTTACCACCATAACCTCTCAATCTCCACATTCTTTCTCTGTTTCATCCTTGTCCTCCATATCCTCATTACTCCTGCTTAACCCCTAGGAAGAGGCAGCGGACGCGGAAAAGGGGGGCAGGAGAGGGGACAAGGATCACTGAGACGGAGCGAACAAGGAGGAGGAGGAGGACGACGACGACGACGTGGAGTGGAACCACGTAGGTCCACGCGTCTCAAATGTACTGCGTTGCCTCGGCCCGCGCGGATGCGAGCCGCCAAGGCTCGCAGCACCGTGTGCCTCTCTTGGCAACGTAGGCGCCGCAACTCTCACGACCTCATCCCCGAGGGACTGGTCTTAGGCCGCGCGGGCAGGCCTTCATTCGGCCCCACGGGGCTCGAAAGCGGCTCCTGGACGCTGGAAGGCACAACACGTACCCCCATGACCCGGGCGTCACACAAACAGAAACTCTGGACGCGTGCGTTGTTGTACACATGTTCGGCCTCCAGGAGCACGTGTCCTGGCAGCACCCGCAATGCTCATCCAGTCGCTGGGATGAGGGCGAGATCCCCGGGGGGTCCACGTCGTGACAAAGAAGCGCCGTCGGAAGACATGGCGTGGACGATGGTCCGCTGAGGAACAGTTTGCTAACGCTGGCGTCCGCCGAACTTCCGCCGCTGACTAAGCCATCGTTTGGTTTACTTCCCCTGGCACTTCTGCCGCTGACTAAGACAGCGTTTGATGTACTTCTCCTGGCTTCCGCCAGCATCCGCCGAAGGCGATGGGTTTGCCATTCGAATTATCGAGAGCAAGACCTGTACCCCTTCCTCCCTTTCCATTCGTTGGCCCCTTCCCTGGTCCAGTCCAACGCTTCTACTCCTGCAGATACATTGGTTTGCCTGAGGACGAAATGCCAGAGGAGGGCTCAGTGATCCCACGACGCTGTTGAATGACTGTACACATGCGTCCAACCTCAGGCAACAGTAATATGAACAACGGCAGTCATTGCACACCAGATGCAGCAGAACTTGCTAAAGGGTCCTTCTTCGTTGTGAGGAACAACTCATTCTCTGCCTTCCGCATCTTGTCCATCGCGGCCTTCGGTCACAGTATCGTCGACAGTGTGAAACAAGTCAATGTCAGTGCAAGTGGCTGCCCCTTGCTACCTCATGGTGTGCACTTCCTCCATCGGTTTATTTGCTCTGGCCGCATCTCTTCCGCTTGCGAGCGGCCGATCAGCTGCAAGCAGATTGCCGGCATCAATCGCACGACGCCAACAGCAGCACAGGGCAAAACATGGCACTGTGAATCCTGATCCCAATACCCCCCCCCTGGTGCTCCTCATCCTCCTCCATCGAGCCCCGACCTGTTTCTCATTTGTGAAGGGGCCCTGGGACACACAAATAAATACACACAAATAAAAAGATTCCAATATCTTCCCATAGTTTCTGGGCTTTTCTCTTACCCCCCACTTCCCATATTTTCCTATACTTTCTGGGGAATCGACGATTAGTTGTGTCTGTGTGTTTTTTTCCCTCCTGAATTTGGGAGGGGGAGCTTCCGCGCATGCTTTCGAGCGACCGCGGCCTCGCGCGCAACGCCGAGGTGCAGCACACAGAGAAACAACCGCCCGCAGGCCCCGCGCGCGCCGGGCCCCCCGAGGCGGGACCATCCCCTGCGCGACTCCACCCACACGCACACGCTGGAATCTGTTCCCGACCCCGCTGCTCCTGGATCCACGACCTTCCACTTCGCCTCTTCCTCGTCGTGGGCGTCTGGCCCCCCCCCCCTCCTCTCTCTCTCTCTCGCACCGCTGCTCCTGGATCCGCGACCTTCGACTTCGCCTCTTCCTCGTCATCGGCGTCTGGCCCCCCCCTCTCTTTCTCTTTCTCTTCTTTTTTTTTTTTCTCTCTCTCTCTCTCTCTCTCTCTCTCCTCCCTCCTCCTCCTCCTCCTCCTCCTCCTCTCCTCCTCCTCCTCCTTCCTCCTCCTCCTCCTCTTCCTCTCCTCCTCCTCCTCCTCCTCCTCCTCCTCTTCCTCCTCCTCCTCCTCCCTCTCTCGGCGCACGTCGCCCTCGGAGCCGCGCCCCTCGCCCGCCGGCCGCGGGCGCCCGCGGCCGGAGCCGGGGAGGGCCCGCCCCCCTCTGGACACGGGGGGGGGGAGGGGGGGGGGGGGGGAGGAGGAGGAGGAGGAGGAGGAGGAGGAGGAGGAGGAGGAGGAGGAGGAGGAGGAGGAGGAGGAGGAGGAGGAGGAGGAGGAGGAGGCTCCTCCATACTGAGGCCCGAGAGGAGGAGGGCTTCTTGCCCCCTCCTCCTCCCTTTCTTGGGCAAGCTGCCGAGCTCGTCTCAGAGCTCGTAGCGCCCCTGGACGGGCCGCCAGCCTGACGCCTCATCGTCCACACGGACGGAAGCGCACTCGCCAACGGCACATATGCACTCGCAGTGCAATGCGGGAACGAGTAGAAAACGAGAACGGTGTCCAGGTAGAAGCAGCACAAAAGTCAGTATAGGCAGCTTGCCCCCTCCTCCTCCTCCTCCTCCTCCTCCTCCTCCTCCTCCTCCTCCTCCTCCTCCTCCTCCTCCTCCTCCTCCTCCTCCTCTTGGCCTGCGAGGCGGCGAGGTCGGCGAGCTCCTTCTGGAGGGCCGCCGTGCTGTCCTCTCGGGGGGCACAGAGGCCGGGGGCCTCTCGGCGCGGGAGAGGGCAGTCCAGTTGGCACGCATAGGTCGGGCATGCCCCCCTACGGACGGATCTTGGACGAAACATCAGAAATAGGCGAACAAATGCCAACACGAGTGTAAAATACAGAAGAAAAAAACGTCCCCAGGCTATTTTTTGACTATTTTAGAAGATTCCTCCTGTAGAGAGACAGGCCCGAGTTAAGTCCAGTTGGCACGCTGTGAGTGCCGCAGCCACGCGCAACAAGCCACCTGCGCGGCGAGCCTGGGCGGGTGGCAATCGAGGGCGTCAAAACTTCACGCTCCGCGTTGCTGGGAGGGCGCCCATCGCCGCGCTCTCGCGCCGCCCCCCAGGGGAGCAGAGGAGGACGAGGAGGAGCCGGAGCCGAAGCGCGACGCGCGAATGACTTCGCGCCCTCGAGGGCGCCCTTGGTACTGAGTGGGTGGGTGACCTCGATGGGGGGAGTGAAGGAAAAGGCCCCTCTAGGCGCGGGCCCTTTCGGACCTCTTCTGGAGCCAGCCAGGGCCAAAAAAAGGGCCCCAAGCGGCCCGTGTAGGGCCTTGTCCCTCACCCCCCCCATTGAAGAGCCGCCCCCCACCACCACCCGCCCGACTCGACGGGCCCCCCCCTCACAGGGGTATGGCCGGAGCGGCCCAAACCCAGCCCTGCAAGGCCATGACGCATCACTGCGAGGCGGGGGTTTGTCCATGTCCACCGCCTGGGAACCGACGCCCTGGGAACCCAGCGGGCGGTGGATATGGATACATTTGGGCCCCTGGGGGCCCGAATGTATCCATATCCACCGCCTGCTGAACGCCCATGAAGATCGACCACCCAGGCGGTGGTTATGGACAAAAGGTACCCGCCTCGGGATCACACCACCCGAAGGTGCCCAACGCGGTGCACGAGCTCTCCTCGCCACACGTCGGGGGCCCGCGAGAAGGCCTATAGGTCTCAAGCGGGGTGCATGGTGCCGACGGCTGCCGGGGCGCCTCGGGTCAAGCTGCGCGGCCGCAGGTCGGGCTGGGGGGGCCCCGGGTCTAGCGCTATGTCGGGCGTGTCCCCCTACTGGGGGATTTTCGACGAAACATAAAACATACCCCCCAAATGCCCCCCAAAGATCAAAAAATACGCAAACATGATCCCCAGACTATTTTCGTAATATGTTGGGACTATGTGTGGGGGTATGTTTTTTTTTCGTCGAAAATCTCCCTGTAGGGGGACAGGCCCGACTTACGTCTAGCGCAGCGAACCCCACCTCGTCCAACGAACCCCTCTGGCAGCCACCGAACACCGACTAACACACATCCGAGCGGGCGGCGAATGGCACGACAGAACCTTTTTCCGCCGCTGGGGGCGCGGCCCCAAGGGCGGCTGGAAGGCTTCTGCCTCGACGTGCCACCGTGAGGAGGGCAAAACCTTTCCAGCCGCCCTGGGACAGGCGCCCCCGACAGCAAAGAAAATGAATGTTCTGCCGCCGCTCACCTGTGAAAGATCAGAGGTGTGGGAGAGGTTCGCGACGCCGGTGCGGATGGCTCCAGCGTGCGCTGCCCGCCGCCGATGTCGGATCCGGACAGTGGCGCCGACGATGACCAGGCCGTCTGGCCCTGTGCAGCTCTCTCTGCCTTCGGGCCGCGCTGCCGAATGCACTCCCTGGTGCCCATACGCGGATACCACCTGTGCGCCTGTGCGACGGTCGGGAGATGGAGGGAACATGCGTAAGTGGCACGGGCGTCCAAGGCGAGGACACAGCCGAAACCAAGGAACAAGCCAACGAAACGAAACGGTCCCGCCTGGCCTGGGCTCCTCTACGGAATTCTGTTACAGAAGAATGTTGTGAATCCAAAGCTAGGGCCAGAGTACAATCGCTCGCGTTGGGGCCTCAGGGGGACGCCTTCAACGATGACGCCAAATACCTGTTTGGATGGAACTGAAATAAAAGGATACTCAGCATGGGCTGGACCCCTCAGACAAGGCTCTGGCTTCAACGGCCTCGCTCTCGCTCTGCCTGTCCGGGCAGTCCTTGAGCGCCGCTGACTCGGCAGACATCTGATTGATCTTTGTGGTAAGCTTCTCGACCACAGTGCTCTTCTCGTCCTTCTTGGCGTCTGTGTCGGCCATCTCCTGCGCGGCGCTGGGAAGCCATGGGGGGGAGGAGGACACAGGGAGGAGGGTAGGGGAAGAGTCGAAGCAAAGCGATTTGAGACAACGGCAGCTCAAAACCGCACCCCTGCCGGAGTCCAAACGCACCAGTTTTCCGAGCTGCGACCAGCCATGGCGACGAGGGCCAGTAGATGGACAATCTTATCTTCGAGTCCTTCAGCATTGCAGGGGGACTCTGATCCCCCCCCCTGAATCCGATGTTGATGTCAGTAGTGACGATTCGGGGCTGGGGGTTCGAGTAGTTGCCTCTGTCCACCCATGACCTCATAGTGTCACAACCCTCAACATTACATTGGGGGGTCTGGGGGTGGGGCCCCTTGCGCTGCAGGGATCGCACTCCTTGTCCATGTGCGGACTCCTCGGCGCCCCTCGAGACCCCCTTCCCGCCTTCTGCGAGGCCTTCTCTTCCAGGCCGGCTGGGAAGGAGCTGGACACCCTCCTGACGCAACAGATGCGAAAGACTACCCATCGGTCGGAAGAAATAGGAGATTGGGTGTCCGCCCGCCCCCTAAAGGTTGACGGAAAAGGTGAAGCCACTCGATCGTTGAAGTAGGAAGGCACTTCAAGTAGATTGGAATCTGGGACTCCAGAAAGACTTACTTTCAACGACCGATGGGCGGGGCACCTTGCTGCAGGGCATCCCGATGCCTACCTATAGTCGCAGGGCGGCCCTGCGGAGGGCCACGCGAAACAATGGGATGTGCCTGGCCACGCCACGACCCGGCCAGACATACAGTGGAGGCCCGACCACAAGGGAAACATCCACAGGAAACCCAACCCGGAGACCCCAGGACGTCCATTGATTCTTGGCGTGGGAGCGTCGCGCTTTCCATGGCACAACGACCGTAGGCCGCCCGACCCCCCTCCTGGGGGGCCCAGAGCGAGGTACGCGCCTGGGCGTCTTGAGATGGTAGCCCCGCCGAGTGAAAGGCCCCGAGTTCTGGAGGTCCGCGATGCTTCCCTGGATTTTTTCCTCCTCCCGCACGGGCGACGGCACTATGCCTCGATGTGTGAGCACCACAAATCACCACGGCAAGACTGCGCCCCCGAGTGCCACTGGCAAGCGGGGAAAACGACACCCCACCGCGGACCTGGCCAGGCCGGCCTGCAGCTCCAGGAGGCACCCCACACGAGGCAGATGTTGCCAGCACGAGAGAAGCCGCCTTAGACTTGGAGGCAAGCTAGTTCCTTCCCGACTCCGCCCCCCAGCCACGGGGGCTGCGAGAAAGCAAAAGGGCGCCACCACCGAGGCCAGGAGGCCGCAGCAGGGAGGCCGCGGCGAGGCGTCCGCCGCGAGCTGCCTCCCTGGGGGGGGTCGCTGGGCCGCCCGTGGCGGCGCCTCCCGGCGCCGGCGCCCTCCGGCGCGCCTCCCAGGCCCGGGAGGGGGGGGAGGCTGCCGCGGCGACCCACGAGATCCGCCTGGACCTCCGAAGAGGTCCTTGGGGATGGACAGACCTCCCTTTAGTAAAACGTCCTCCTCCTCCTCCTCTTCCTCCTCCTCCTCCTCCTCCTCCTCCTCCTCCTCCTCCCTGTCACAGTGCCGCGGACGCGCGGGTGGCCGAGGCCACTGTGGCGAGCGCCCCCCCCCAGGCTGCGGGGCGAAAGCAGCGTCCTTAGGGGGCCCGTGGTAGGGCAGGCCCAAAAGCTGGGGACGTCGGCGAGCGCGGTCTGCAGTGGGCCAGTTGCAAGTCAGACCCAGACGTCCATGGGCGACAACCAGGATTTCGGGAGAGCTGCTGAATATCTCCGAACGTCCCAGTGGGCTGAGCATTTTTGAGCTTTCATTTGGGGGCCTCAGGCAGCCACGTGCAACCAACAGTGCTATGACTTGTTTGTGGCCAGCAAGTGGTTCGACCACCAAGTGGCAGAGTATATGGCTCAGCTAGACACGCTTGCAAGCCCACAAGCGGCGGTGGTGCTCGAGCTCAAGCGGGTTACGGGTCAAGCCAAAATTTGGCAGAGAGGTGTACCAATCTCGTTTCCCCCCCCTGCGTCATGATGAGGAGCGGGACAGAATGTGTTTTGTAGTACCATGTGAAGGACCGTCTTTCGACGGCCTACGACCCCACGCCGAGTTGGCATCTTGGTTTCAAGCAGCGGGAGCTGCGCTAGGTAGAGTTCGCGGCACCACTTCCCCGAAGCACCCTGGCCGAGCCAAGGGCTGCCAGGTGCAACCGGTCCCCTCGCAAGCCCCGGGGGGGCCAAGAGCGGCGTCGTCTGGCCGAGTTCGCTACGCAGAGATGGCGTTCATTCCGCAGGCTAGCATTAAGTCGGGCCTGTCCCCCTACAGGGAGATTTTCGACGAAAAACTAATTCTCCAAAAATACCCCAAAATGCAAACAAAACAAAAAAAAACTCAAAAAATAGCCCGGGACTATTTTTGCATTATTTTTTGATTATTTTTGAGTATTCTTTATTTTTCCTCGAAAACCCCCCTGTAGGGGGGCAGGCCCGACGTAAGGCTAGCCGTTCAATCTATGAAGGGCTCCCCGCCGGAGCGGCGAGCGCGGAGCCTGCAGGACGTGGGCGGATCCTGCAGGGCCTGTGCGCCTCGGCGGGGGGCTCCGAGCTGCGCGCCGCGTCGGTCCTGTCTCTTTGTTGATCGGCGGCCTCGGCACTCCAAAAGGAGGAGGAGGAGGAGGAGGAGAGGAGGAGAGGGAGGACACTCGGCCGATACTTCGGACGCCCGAAATGGGTACGGAAAGAATGGGCACAGTGCCCAACAGCAGTTCCTGTGCATCTTGGACAGGGTTCGCTGTCCACGCCGCGCGGCCTGTGTCCATTCGAGACAGAGGGCCGCCTGCCCAACAGCGGCCGCTGTTGGTTTGGGACAGCACTTGCTGTTGGGCATTGTACCCATTTTTGTCGGTACCCATTTCGGGCGTCCAAAGATGCAGTGCAACGCGAAGTGGATCGCAGGATCCGGCTGGAGGGTGCCGAAGGCCGACAAAGGCGGCAGGCCAGGGCTCCGTCGTCGGTCGGTCGGGGAGGTCGCGTCGCGCGCAGGTGCTCCAAAGGCCCCGCTCCGCCGCCGTCGCATGGTTTTTGAGCGCGGGGACACCTCGGTCCCCGAGGAGGCTGAGAGGCCCCTTGTAGGTAAGGCTGCCCTGGACAGAATCCGAGCGGATTGGATCCCGTTATGGACCAGGGCCGCCAGAGACTGTGTCAAGAGCGCGTGGGTGCATCATGCGCCGGCTGCAGCGGCTAGTGAGGTCCCAGGCCTCAGCACAGGCACCCTTATCTGCCGGCCCCCTTGTGGGGCCACCAGGCTGTAGGGCGAAGGTTCGCAGTTTCCTGTACCAGTTGCAGCTTCCAGTTTCGATTGTTACAGTTCTGCTTCTTGCTGCTTACTGTTCCTTGCTGATGGACCGCGTGAGGGGGGAAGGCCCAAAACCAGCATGTTTAGCACGCCCTGAGCGTGAACTCTGAATTGCTGGGGTGTGTAAAAATTGCCACCCCTCACGCAGATCGGCGGGGTCAGGGTCCAAAAACAGCGGGGATTGGCCACATGTCTGCAATCCCCTCACGCAGATCGGCGGGGTCAGGGTAAAAAAACACATGGGATTTGCCAAATTTGCTGGCACCCCTCACGCAGATCGGCGGGGTCAGGGTCCAAAACCACATGGGATTGGCCGCATTTCTGACATTCGGTGGCACCCCTCACGCAGATCGGCGGGGTCAGGGTGCAAAATCACAAAGCATTTGCCACATTTCTGACATTCGGTGGCACCCCTCACGCAGATCGGCGGGGTCAGGGTCAAAAAAAACACAAGGGGATTTGCCACATTTCAGAATTCGGCGGCACCCCTCACGCACATCGGCAGGGTCAGGGTGCCAAAACACAAGGGATTTGCTGCATTTCTAAAATTCGGCGGCACCCCTCACGCAGATCGGCAGGGTCAGGGTCCAAAAACACAGTGGATTTGCCACATGTCTGAAATTCGGCGGCACCCCTCAAGCAGATCCGTAGGGTCAGGGTCCAAAAACATTAGGATTTGCTACAGTTCTGAAATCCGACGGCACCCCTCACGCAGATCCGTAGGGTCAGGGTCGAAAAACAAACAGATCCCGACACTGCTTCACGGCGGCGCCCAGACCTCATGATTTAGAGTGTGCATCTCCAATTTTCCGAGACAGGGGGCCGGCGGCATCAGGCGAAGCCCTTACGGATTAAGTACCCAATCGCAGCGCTCATCCTCGCGAGAGCAAGGGTGGGTCTCCGTTCTTCGGACCCGTGGATGTTGCGGATGCGGACAGGAGACAAATTGGACCTCCGCGTCGTGTCGCTATTTCTCGCAGTCCGCAGGGCCACCTTCGGAGCCAGAAGTGCTGCAGGCAGGGCTGGCCTGGCCAAGTTAGGGCCAGGCAGCGGCCAGCGGGTAACATGTTTCTGGAGGCCCGCTCAAGGAGCTGCTACATGGGAGGCATGCTGCGGGCTGGGGCATCGCAGTGTTGGACAGGGAGCTCCGCCAACGAGCAGGGTGGTTTGTGGCTGCTCCCCCTCCGCTGAGTGCCCAGAGCTGGCGGCAAAGGATTGCAACGAAGGATTGCAAAAAAAAGGATTGCACAAAAAAGGATTGCAAAAAAAAAGGATTGCAATCCTTCGTTTTTTTTGCAATCCTTTGTTGGTTTGCAATCCTTCGGTTTTTTGCAATCCTTTTTTTGTCCAATCCTTTTTTTGCAATCTGTTTTGCAATCCTTTTTTTCCAATCCTTTTTTTGCAATCCTTTTTTTTGCAATCCTTTTTTTGCAATCCTTCGATGGTGAGGACTGCGCGACCCGGACGGCTCTGCGCCACATGGCGGGCACGTCTGCGCTCTGCTCGGGTGGTAGGAGGCACGCTGCAGGATCGCAGGAGCCCAGGTTTCGTCAATGTGAAGGGGCCTACAAACACACAAAATAAATACACGCAGATAAAAGGATTCCGCATATTTCCATATGTTTTGGGGTTTTTTGTCTTCCCCCCCACTTCTAATATGTTCCCACACTTTCTGGGGAATCGACGATGAATTGTGTCTGTGTTTTTTCCCCTCCTCACAATAGGCCACCCAATATCCGCTCGCATCTGTGGAAGCGCACTTTCGCAGAAGGAAGGCCCCCAGGGATTGCCTTCAAGAAGTTGGAGGCACGCACCAGCATGAATGAGGTGCGCGAAGGACGCACCACAGTTTTTGATCATGAAGGTAACAGGGTCGCCGATCGGTTGGCAACACAAGGAGCCAGGATGGCAATGGGAGACCCGTCGGTCGGTCTCGCGTCAAAAGGTATGCTTTGCTTGGCAATGGCCCTGCTCCGTTTCATCAGCAGGACCGAAGCCAACTGCGCAGGCCGTGGAGTTTTAGATCACCTGGGAACCCAGGGTCTCACCATGAGCTCGTTGGATTGTCATGTCGTGGTGGAGGAGGCTCTGGAGGAGCTGTGGAGGAGGGTGCTGGCTGCTGCTGCTGCTGCTGCTGCTGCTGCTGCTGCTGCTGCTGCTGTTCCCCCCCTTTGCCAGACCCCTCCCTGTCGGCTGGCAGGCCCGGGCGAGCAGCTGGGTCCAGAGCGGGCCTCGATGGCCCTGGGCTCGGCCCAGGTGCCCGGGGCTTCCAGGGGACAGCTGCTGCTGGCATGTTGTGCGTGGCGGCCGAAGGCCAGTCACTGGTGTTGTTCTGCTCCACTTGCGGAGGCCTTTTGCTACCTTTTCGCAGGGTTCCAGAGGGCCCCGAGACGCCTGCTCGGGCTCCCTGCGGGCCCTGGTGGACCCTGGCATGAAGAATACCAATGCTGCTCTCTAGGGCAAGCGCCCTAACAGACCTCTGAAACTGGGCCCCTGGAGGACTCCCCGTGGGGCGGCTCGTGTGCTGGTGGGTAATATTGTTACATAAGGTCCCAGCGGCCCAGAAGAGAGGTCCGCTGGCCCGCCTGTTGTTGTCTGCCTTGCGGATGCTCTCCAAGCCGTTGGGCTAAAAGAGCTCGAAGCGCGAACCCTTGGAGACTGGTGTGAGCGCCCTGACAACCAGGGCCTCGATACCGACTCCGACGGCGGATAGATCCTCCAGGGGGGCCCGTCGCCGGCCATGGGCAGGTCTATGGCCGTCCTGCCTGTGGTCGACAAAGGTCCATTCGGATGGCCCCCCCCAGGAGGGAGTGTTGTCAGACTGTCGGACTTCTCTATCTCTCTCTCGCTCTCTCTCTCTCTCTCTCTCTCTCTCTCTCTCTCTCTCTCTCTCCCCCCCCGTTCCCCTCAGTGGGGTGCGATCCTCCTTCTCCTCCTCCTCCTCCTCCTGCTCCTCCTCCTGCTCCTCCCCTCTCGTCCCCCTCCTCAGAACAGGAACGTGAGCGACGATCAAAACCGGGTCTTACTTGGGATGGTGGCTTACGCGGGCGGCGGCTTACGCGGCGGCTTACGCGGGCCGCCAGCGCGGCACGCTGCTTTGGAGAAGGGGGCGCTTACGCGCGACCTTACGCGGGCAGCTTACGCGCCAACGTCGGCGCAGACGAACCCGTTCTTATGCGTCGCTCACGTGGACCACCGCCCACGAGACCCCATCGCTAAGGAGCCGACACCTGGGCGGTGGCGCGCCAGAGCGTCAGCGGGCAAAGGACGAAGCTCAGGCGTGCAACCGCCCATGGCTCGGTCCTGGTCGGTCCCCCTCCGAGGGGTAATCGGTGCCCTCCTCGGGCGCGGCCTGACCGACCCCTGGCAAACCATCCACTTCCGTGACGCGAGCTCCCCTCCGGCCGCATACAAACGTCTTGGCGAGGCGACGGGGATATCACTGATGGGGATGGTTTGCTAAGGGTCGGTTAGGCCGCCCATGACCGCCCCCTCCACCAGTGGCGCACACGCTGTATGCCCAGCTGAGCCGCCACACGCGGCGGGCGTCCTTGTCGCAATACTCCTTGTGCTGGGCATCCTGCCCGGCCTCGGACTCCAGCTTGTCGATCCGCGGGCCCCCCGCTGCTGGGAGGAGTGGCCGGCGCGTGAGGCTCAGATGTGGCCATGCAGCGACTCGACCTAAGCAGAAGAAGAAGAAGAAGAAGCGCCACAAACATAAACTTTTGGCGCTCCACGCGGATTTCTTGGATCGTCGCTGGACCCCACTCCCTGGCGCGCGGAGCGCGCCAGGGGCGGTGCCGGAGGCGCCGCCGCCGGGGGCCCCAGCGCGGATCCGAGACATCTGCGCGGAGGGCCAAAAGTTTCTGTGTTATAGACTTCTGCTCTCCTCTCACCAAGTTCCCCCGAGGGCAGCCCCTGGCACAGCGAGGACTCTCCCGAGGCAGCCCTGGCAACCCAGGGCAGGCTCTCCTCCAACCATCTCGAGCGCGAAAGATACCCGTACCCTTACCCAGACGGGGTGGCAAGGGGCCCTCGGGGCATCACCCCCCTGGGTCCGGGTCGGCTCCCGAAACCACCATACATACCCGTACCTAGACGGGGTGACCCAACCACCACCCCAGCTAGGTCCGGGTATATATGGTTGTTTCGGGCCCCGACCCGTACCCAGACGAGGTGGCGGCAAGGCCGAAAACGCTCTAGCGGGCGGCCCTTTTCACCCCAGCTGACCCCGGGTCCGGGTATGTTTTGGGCTAGTGAAACCAGAAGCTCCCCCCCCCACGGCAGCCCTGGCACAGGGAGGACCCTCCCGGCCAGCGCCGTCGGACCACCGGCAAGGCCTGCCGGGCGGTCGCCCCCCGATCGCCGCCCGTGGGCGCCGCCGCCCGGTGGTGCGCCGGCGGGGCCGCTGCCGGAGAGCGACGCATCGCTCCCCTATAGGGGTTCCTTAACCTCCCCCTGCGCGCGCCGAGGCCGGGGTGGATCCTGCCCCCTCCGCTGCTCGTGCCGGCAGCATACAGGGCAGTTTTTAATACATGGGATTTAAAAAACATAGGAGTTTTAGTCCATGATCAATTTAGGAATAGATTCATGCATGAACTCATGGTTGTCTTTGATACTGAATCCCTGCATGCTTCATACATGATCCGCACGCGGAGCATGTGTTAAAAACGGCACTGTATGGGTTTCTCCACGATGTTTCGGCCGTCTGAGCCTCTTCAGCTTCCGATGGCCCTCTGGCCCCAGCGGACGCTGTGCGAGGGACCACGGCGGCCCCACTGAGAGGGGCGCGGGAAACGCCGGAAGGAGGCCCCCGATAACATCCGAGGAGAGACCCAAGAGTACCACGATACGTGATCATTGGGGCTAGCATGGTGCACGCCTTGAGTTATGCGGTCAAGAACTTGTGCTTAGCGTGCCGCGGCGGCGGCTCCGGCGACACGCTATGACATGCGAGCGGATAGCGTGTCGCTTCCCTCTGCGCGGCAGGAGGCTCGGAAAGGCTCGGGATGTTGACGCTGGATGGGGACGTGGATAGCGTCTTGCTCCTACAAGGGGTGGGGCAAACCCGGCGGAACGACACCCTATGTAAGCCAAACGTCCTGACCGCAAAAACTGAGCAACCTGCCGTGATGACCGCCACCGACCAACCAAAGTTGCACAACCGTGCCAGCGTGTCTTACCCCATGCATGAACCCGAACACGATTGCTTCAGTGCACACCTGAGCCTGCAATTACCGTTTCTGGCTTCTTGGCATCGCGACCACCGTGCGGGGGCTGCGAGTCGCCATGACATCCCTGAAATTCTGCGAGCACTCTTTCTGGGACCTCCTCACAGCCTGGTTCACGAACCCCTCAGCAGTGCCCCCCTCTCCAAGCGGGATTGAACGCGGGGCTCCTGTGAGACTCCTCCGCTCAAGGTCCTCGTTTGCTCACGCAGGCAGCATGGCCAACCTTGGGCCTCTCGAGTTTTACCTGCGCCGCTTATAGAAGGCCATCGATCCCAAAGAGTTGGATGGGGCGCCCACCTCCACCCGGTCTTCCAGGCACCCCTGGAGGCCCAGGCGCCCAGTGTGTACGACGAGTGCGGCACACGTTGTGTGGGCACCCACTGGGAGAACGCCCTCTCGTCCTCTCCAATGATAGAGGCCTCCCAGATGAGGTCCAACATCGGCAATACGTCGGCGCCGTGGGCGTGGACAAAAACGGGCTGCACATCGCAACACGTCGCCGATGCATCGGCGATGCGGCACGATCCTCCGACCACATCTACTCTTGCCCCAGTTGGGAGGCCTGGAACTGAACGTCTGTTGCATCCTCGGGGGACCCTGTCTGTCCCGTGGCAGCCCTATCCGCGCCGAATTCGTGTCGAATCCACGTCGGACTCGTCGAATCCGTGTCGAATCCGCGTCGAGTCCGTGTCGAGTCCGCGTCGAATCCACGCCAAAAATCCGCGCTGCTTCCGCATCGAGCCCGCGCCGGGCACAAGAAAAATGCACCAACTCTGGGGGCAGGCGAGGCCCCCAGGAGATGCAACGGACAGCACGGAACTGAGCTGGCCAATCAGAACCCAAGCCGTTGCGTGCGCACGGCAACTCCGCGACGGCCGGGCGGAACGGCGAGGCCCCCAGGATCATGCTGGAGATGAGCCTCGGGCGGCGCCGCACCGCTGAGAGAGCCAGGCGGCACGGCAGCGCGTGCGCGCGGGGGAGGGGGGCGCGGGGCGCTGCTCAGAACGGAGCAGCAGAAGGATTTCGCCATGAGATGCGAAGTTCCCTCCCCTCCGCCCCCCGCCCCGACGCTCCTCCTCCTCCTTCCCCTCCTCCTCATCGATTCCTCCACTTCCTCCTGTTCCTCCTCCTCATCCTCCTCCTGCTCCTCCTCCTCCCTCCTCCTCCTCCTCCTCCTCCGCCTCCTCCCCCTACTCCTCCTCCTCCTGTTCCTCCTCCTTCTCCTCCTCCTCCTCCTCCTCCCTCCTGCTCCTCCTCATCCTCATCCTCATCCTCCTCCTGCTCCTCCGACTGGCGTGGGCGAGCGAAGATCTGGTCGGGGCCATGGTCCCTGGCAGAAATCTGCTCAGTGGCTCGCGATGCACGATCTGCAATGCATGAGAGGCTGGCGAGGCCCCTAATTAACCCTGCTAAGATGGGAATCGAAGGTGAAAGGGCCAACGCATGAGGTGGCGAGGCGCCTACTCCTTCTGAGAGGGATCCGTCTTTTCGCGATACGTCGGACCAAACAACCCCTATTTCCTGCCCCTAGTGCCTAGTGCACAGACTGAGTCCTAAGTGAGGCTGCACCATCATCGTTTTATTAGGAATAGGGGTTTTATGATTCTTAACGAACGGCCTCCGACTGCAAGTCCAAGGCACCAGCCAGCGAGCAAATGACAATCATGGGCCGTTACCAGTGCCCAGGCAAAAGGTATGCCACATGGCAAAGACAGGCATCCCACACGCACAAGCTCTGCCTGCCCTCACCGTGACGGAACCATTCCGTCCGCGCGAAGCCCGAGTCACCGTCTTCGACTCCTGCCGTCTTGATGGCAGACGGAGCCATGATCATGAAAAGTGGTGTGCTGCCCACGATGGTTCAGCCGGTGCATTCAAAAACAATCACCGTGCTACCAAACTGAACACTGGCCACGGCTAACCCACGAATATATCTCCTACCTACATCTACGGTACGGCCCGAAAACCAGAGCCCCTCCTGAGCCCAACACACACCATCACTTCAACGTCTTGACTCTAAAGGCCGCGGCAAGCCTGCCACCACGATCGTCACCGCCGCGATTGTCTGCCGTGGACGCCGAGATGGGATCGTGCGAGCTGGCCAGCTGAGGAGCAGCACCCCTTCACCTTGGCAAACGGGTCTTCGCCGTTCGCCGCGCTGAAGCGCATGGCCGACGTCATGCGCTTGGCCAACTGCGCCAGGGCCGGCGAGTGGAGCTTGCGCCCGAGCTCCTCCCGCGCGGCGAGGCCGGCTCGTTTGGTGCCCGGCTTGCAGCTGCTGGAGGGGCGACGGTAGGGGGGGACTGGCACAAGGGGGGGATGCAACGACCTGGAACCTGCGATACGTCGCCGATAGATCGGCGACAGGCCCCAGACCGTGAATCTGCACCTTCCTGTGCAGGTTGGGGCCACCAGGCCCCTGTCGGCGATCAGTGGGCGATTGAGGGGTGGATGCGTCCCCCCCCCTATGCCTATCCCCCTCCTCCTCCTCCTCCTCCTCCTCCTCCTCCTCCTCCTCCTCCTCCTCCTCCTCCTCCTCCTCCTCCGCGACGACAGGAAGCCCTGGCCTCCAGCTGGAAGCCGTGGCCAACCCGTCGTCCAAGGGCCTACTCCCCACGGGCCAGGGCCCTCGCGCCTGGCCCAGAGGACACTCTGATGCCAGACGCACGTGGGGGCCAGAGATGACTACCTACCATACCACCCCAACCCAACCCGAAGACCCGAATTTCGGGTTGGGGGGGGTACGGGTTCCATACGTGTTTTCTCGATGTTCCACGACCCCCTCCCCACTGGAAATCGAGGATAATTTGGGGCTTCGGGTTGGGTTGGGATGGTTTGGTGGGTGGTGAAGAGGGCCCCTGGGTACCCCTCGCGAGGCTCAGCGGTCCTCGCCGACGGGGGGACTTCCAGATCTGGCTGCCGCCGAGAAACCGCGACGGCCAAGGTTTGAACGCGTCCGGCGTGCGGACGCCATGCCCCAGCCCTGGGACCTTCAACAGAAATACCCCGGATGAAACGCTGGCGCGCACATAAAATATGAAAAACACCTCCCTGTCTTATGAGGTAGATGCTCACCTGAAGTATCCCAAAGTCACTGCCCTTCACGACGCTGATTGGCCGAGACCGTCGGCGTAGAGTCATTGCGTACTTCTTCTTTGCCAAGACCGAAGGTCCCCACTCCAAGTTTGGCTGCTGCAAGCAAGAGAATGGCCCAGGTGCCCCGGGTCCAGTGTCACGAGAAAAATGCCACGGAAGAGGCTGGGGGGGGGATCGGGAGCGCCGCGCCGAGGGAGGGGGCGCCGGGAAGAGGGGGGCCCAGCGGAGCGTGGGCCGAGGCATGTGCGCGGACCGGGGGAGGGTCAGGGAGCGTCTCGACCGAAGAGGGGCGGGGGGGCCATGACACCCGGGGAGTGAGGTTGCCCCCTCCACCATATCCGCGCACCGCACCCCTGGTCTCCCCCGGGCGTCCGACGTCGCGACTCTTCCTCCGCGTGGCCCCCCAGGAGGCTGGACCCCAGAAAAGGCTCCCCGACTGGCGCTTCATCCTCTGAGTCGGGCGAAAAGGGGGGATAGCAAAGGAGGGGTTTGAGAATCAGCTCACGTAGCTGATTTTCCCGGCGCCTCCCGGCGCCGGGAGCGCCCATGTATCGAGGAATGGGCCCCTCTGTGAGGCCGAAACCAGTTGCATGCAACAAATTTCGTAACCCCCCCTTTCCCAATCCCCCCCCTTTCGCCCGGCTTCATCCTCTGAGTCGAGGGTTGACGGTCCTGGGGGCCCGGTGAGAGGGGCCCCACACGCCGGAGACGGTCCAAGACCCTCCGTCGTGCTGTCTGCACTGCGCAGAGGATGTCGGGGCCACCCCCATCTTTGATGAGAGGAGGAGGAGGAGGAGGAGGAGGAGGAGGAGGAGGAGGAGGAGGAGGAGGAGGAGGAAAGGAGTGGCGCGAGAACGGCGCACCTGCCCCGTGCCAGGTCTGCACTCCCCTGCGAGACCCCACTCACCCCCCCTCTCTCCCGCCGCCTTCCTCCGAGCTGTCTCCAGCAGACGTCCGAGCTCCTGCCCTGGGGTTGGGGAGCGGTGGCCCCTTCGCACCGGGGGCTCCCGTACGAAGTGCACCGCCTCCACGTTGGCCAGGTCCTTGGTATGTCTCTTCCAACGCCGCGTGGCACAAGGCGAACATGCTTGACGTGGCCAGTAGGCCTTCAACGACTCGGAAACCCAAAGTGGCGACTTCGGATCAAAATTGGTAGAGGAACCTTGAAAGATGCCAACAAGGCAACACCTCTGGGCTGCTTGAACCATGCGCTCATGTCTCCTCTCTCTCTCATTCTCCGTCTCCTCCTCAGGTTCTTCCCACCTCACCCAAAGCCCCGCCCATGCCCCACCGCTCCGCCACCATATACCTTCCCTCCCCTACCCATCTTCTAATTATCACATTTCCCTCCCTGCCTCCTTGCCTTCCCATTCCCATGTGCACTTCAGCGTTGGTGTCGGCTTCAGCTGGGGGTCACAGTCCCCCCCGTCCTCCCCATGTCTCCTCTCCTTCATCCTCGTCCTGCTCATCGTCCTCGTATTGGTCTTCCTCACCCTCAGAATCCTCCAACGTTTGTTCATACACCATCTTGTACCCTAGCAGACACGGCGCGAGATGCAGTGAGGAGGTATGCCTGTGAGGCAACTAAGATGAGCGAAGGTGAGCTGTACAACACATCGTATGGAAGCCGATGTTTCGGAACTGCGTGGTTCGACCGCAGGAAACAACAATTGTCTGCGACAGAAGCGCCGGATGTCAACAGCCGTGGGCAGACCCGCAATCTGCTTACACAGAGCCAACACTTCTGCATTGCCTACTACCCCTCCGCCAGATATTTACCTGGTCACTACATGGTTTCCATGGCCTGGCGAACACTCCTCAAAGACAGTCGTGAGCTGCCGATACACCCGCTAGCGAGGTAGAGCCTGATGTATGCTCTGCATCACATCAGCTGGGTCGCTGGGCCCTTGGGGACCCCAAAACTAGGCCGACGTCAGAGAGGGAAGCAGGATATACTGAGACAGGAGATGGCGCAACAACAGGCATGTCCATACATTAACTGTACGTATCGAGACAACCAAAAGGAGAGCGAGAGGGAGGGATATAGAGAAGCAACAACAACAACTCATGATGCACATACAGATGGGAATGCGACACATCGGCGACCGTGCCCTTGAGGGAAGAAGGGGAAGATGAGGAGGAGGAGGAGGAGGAAGAGGAGGAGGAGAAGGAAGAGGAGGAGGACGAGGAGGAGGGAGAGGACAAAAAAGGGGGGAGGATGAGGAGGACGAGGAGGAGGAGGAGGCGGAGGAGGACCAGGAGACGGAGAAAAAGGAGGGGGAGGAGGAGGAGGAGGAGGAGGAGGAAAAGAAGGAGAGAGGAGGACGAGGAGGGGAGGGCGGAAAAGGACGAGGAGAGGGGAGGAGGAAAACAGGAAAAGGAGGAGGAGGAGGAGGAGGAGGAGGAGAAAAAGGAGTTTGAGGGGCGGGGGAGGGAGCGGAGGAGGAAGAGGAGGAGTGTGGGGGAGGAGGCCTAGGAGGGGAGGAAGAGGAGGAGGAGGAGAAGGAGGAGGAGGAGGAGGAGGAGGGGGAGGAGGTGGGGAAGGAGGAGGAGGAGGAGGAGGAGGAGGAGGAGGAGGAGGATTATCAGCGAGAACGGGGTGTGACAAGAATTTGACTTGTGGGGGCGGGGGGGGGGGCTTGGTACTCCGTATCAAGAATCCCACATATTGCAATGGGTTCTCTGATCGGCCAAACAACACCCTCCCCACAAGGAGCACGGGGAGAGGGACTTCCCGTGCGATACCTGGACCCGGGACTGTCGCCGGCTGTAGCTGGGCAGGCCGGACCGGACGGAACCCAAGGAGGTCACGGCCCAACCGGTTGCTTGGCATGCCGGGATCAAAGGGCACGAGCATCAGCGATACAGCCGACGAGGTGGTGTATCAAGGGGACGGGGGGCGGGGAAACGAAACCCTCGCCTGCGCACCCCTCGGGCCGAGAGGGCTGCGACGAGGTACGCACTCCCCTCTGATGATAATCCCCATCAGCGCCTACCCTGCCTTCCCAAAACTGATCGGAGCGATTATCAGCGAGAAGGGGGGTGAGAGGAATCAGCGCCCTGGCTGCAATCTTTGACTTGTGGGGGCGGGGGGGGGAGCTTGGTACTCCGTATCAAGAATCCCACATATGGCAATGGGTTCTCAGATCGGCCAAACAACACCCAACGCTGAGAATGATAAGTCCCCCCCCCCCAACGCTGTGAAAATTAACAAGTAAGAAATGGTCATAGATCAGCTGAAAGGCGGGCGTTCCTGGCACGCCCTGGCGCCTGTGTTTTCTCCCGCGACCAGTCAGGGAGGCGAAGCGAACAGGCTGTCGAAGTCTAAGGCGGCTACAGGAGGCTCGCGTGGTGAGAACGCCTCCCACTGAGCGGCACGAGTGTGAGACAACACGACGGAGTCGTCGTATCCGGCGCGGCTCAGGACGTCTGCGGGGTAGTCGGACGACGGAATCCTTTCGAACCACGGCCTGGCTCCAAGAGCCGTCAGAGCCGCTGTGGCCACGGGGGCCGGGCGACACATCGACTCTGTAGGCGACCCCGCCTTGACTAAAGCGGCCTCGGCTGCCTGGTTGTCAATGAACCATAACACGTCCCTGTTCTGCAGACGGGATGGCAGGGACCACACCAGGAGAGGGGCGGCTAGCAGCTCTGCCTGGTTGATTACATGGCCGCCCTGTGAGCCAAGGCGGGCAGACATGTTGTCGGATACGTCATAAACCAGGTATGTCCAGGAACAACAACCAGAGCGCCAAGACCCGGCCGACCACTGTCCGCGGAACCGTCTGTGTAGACCACCACGGGTGGAAGCGGGTCGTGCGCGATGGCTAACGACCTCGGCGCAGCGCGTCGTGCTACGGAGGATAAGTACTGGAGGCAACACCGACATTTCGGGGTGATCTCAACGGTGTCCTCGTAGTACTGGCGTGCAAAGAGGGCGGACAAAACCCCCCGACACGGCCGGCCAGCAAGCGAGGTGTCAAGCCATGTGCTTATACTACGCAGGTGTGCGGCCCCGCCGGACTGGAAACGCCCAGCCAGCAAAACTTGGTTCACCTCCTCCAAGAAGCGGCCGCGCGTCCCTAACTTAGGCTCAGAACTGACCGCTGAATCGGTCTGGATGCGGCTAAGATCGTTCAAGTGCCCTAAGAAAGGCAGCATCAACGTCGGCGGCGCGCGCTTTCCGTTCGAGAGCGCAACGCTATCCAGGCGCGCGAGCTCCTGGAAGGCCTGTTGGGCGTCCCCCTTGGACAGCGCTAAATCTACGATAACGTTATCGTCGACGTAATGCCCGCCCATCACGTAAAGCAAGCGTCGAGCGGCGGCTGTGAGGAGGAGCGGGACCCGGTTGAATTGGTTCACCGCCGACCCCAAGCCAAAAGGCAGCCCACGCAACACGCTGTACATGCACTCGTGCGTGGCGGGGTGGAGAAGGGCCACCACGACAAACCCCATGTCCCTACGAGTGGGGAATCATTGTCGGTACCCCTTCCACCAATCCTCCACTGACGCGACGAGCTGGAACCAATCAGGAAGCAAGCGGCCGTCTTGCGAAGAAAATTGGAAAGTCAACGCGCGGGAAATGAGAAGCGGCAGCTCTGGCGGAATAGTGACCAGCGTCTCCGACAAGAAAGATAAGGCGTTGGTGCGAACCCTCTTCCCATCATCGATTAATCGCCACTTGTCACCTTGCCATATAGCGTGGCGCGGAAGCGGGCGATAACCACCAGGCCCAAAACGAAGGTCGAGCTCACGCCGCGTCACAAATGGGTCGGCGAGCCCAGCCTTGATTTCTTCCACTGTCAAGTCGTAGATGACCTTCGTCAGGGGGCCTGGGCGCATGCTTCGTTCCATGCTGTCCACGAACTCTCGGGCAGATGGCCCCGCAGCATCTCGGACGGCTGTCGGGGCGCATTGTGCCCAACGAAACCCTCGCCTGCGCACCCCTCGGGCCGAGAGGGCTGCGACGAGGTACGCACTCCCCTCTGATGATAATCCCCATCAGCACCTACCCTGCCTTCCCAAAACTGATCGGAGCGAGGAGGAGGAGGAGGAGGAGGAGGAGGAGGAGAAGGAGGAGGAGGAGAGGGGGGAGGAGGTAGGAGGGAGGAGTCCCCCCCACCCAACCGTGCGGGGAGCCGGGCCGCCCTCTTCGCCGAGGCCCGGGCGGCGCCGGAGGAGATAGTACCCCCAGAGCGGTGCAGCTGGAGGAAGGAGCCGGAGACCTGTGCGGGGCGGTGGCCCCCGCAGAGAGCAAAGATCCACCCTGGCGACGACGAAGACGACGACGGCGACTGCGACGACGACGACGGCGGCAACAACAGCAAAAGCAGCAACAACAACAAGACCAAGAACATCAGCAGCAACCATCATGTTACGACTCTTCGCTCCTATCTGCTCAAATGCCAAGCAATACGTACGTATATACCAAACCCTCGGTACCCGCCCTCGTCGTCTTCGCTCGTACCCCCTCGTGGGAATATCTTCCTGACCTGCCACGTGCATTTAGTGCAGCCCCTAAAACAAGGGAAAAGAGGACGGGTGGAAGGGAGAGGATGAAGAATGAAGCACGAGAGAAATTAGCAGGAGGGGGGCAAGGAACAGAACACAAATAGTAGAGCCAGACGGGCAGATCGGGTGGGCAGACCCACAGCGGGCAGGTCGGGAAAGCGGGCCCAGGCGACGAGGTCGAGCAGGCGGGTTGCTGAAGCGTGTGACACGCCCTGACGAAAGGCGGCGACGAGGCGGGCACGGGTCGGCGACGGCGGCAACATAGCCGTCAGACCGACAGACACGGCCAAAGGACGGGCAACGGCGAGGCGGCGGCAGGGCGCCAAGGACGGCCACGTGGCCGGCAGACCCGACAGCGATGCCCACCTCCTGAGCAGCAAGTAAGGAACCCCAAGTACAAGCACTTCGTGGGGAAGATGCGTATATACAACAATGTGTATACACGTCAATGGTATTGTGCATGTACATACACGTCAATTATATACACAGCATAGATACAGTTGTATACACCGCATAGTTACACGTCAATTATATACATTTGTATACACAGCATATATATAGATGTGTGTATGCATCTGCACGTCACTTGTATATGTGTGCAAGTGTGCCTGCAAATCCTGAGCCCACTGGCGGCGTTCAAGATGGAAGGCCCGCAACGGGATCGCCGCCGCGTCAACGCGGCGCCAACCTGCCGTAGTGGAGGGCTGGGCGTTCTGGAGCAGGATCTTGCGCGAGGGAGGCTCGGCGGGGACGGCCAGAGGGGGGGCAAAGCACACGTAGTATTAGTATCTTGGGGTGACGCCGAAACTACGTCCGTCGGGCTTTCCTTTGTGGTTCCACAGCGCGAGGCAGGAGCGCCCAGAATCGAATCGACAGGCTGGATCGGCCATCGAAGGGAATCGGATCGGCGGAAATCGGCAGCCGACTCGGGAGGAGTCGCGTCGACGGAGAAGTCGGCAGGCTAGGAACTATTAGGCCTCCAGTGAGGCGTCGGAACCCACGTCGGCATCCCGAGCCGGAAGTCGCATCGGCCTCGGAGGCCATCGAAGTCGAAGCGAAGCGAACCCGAGGAATCGGAACGTGCCCCCCCTGGCGAGGAGGAAGGCTCGGAAGCAGCGGCCCGGGAACGCCTGGCGGCCCAGCAACAGCAATAACAACAACAACAACAACAACAACAACAACCATTTTAAGGCTGTACGCTCTTACTTGCCCGCGAGTCATTCAACACGTATACCCTACACCCTCGATGCCCGCCCTCTTCGTCTTCGATCACACCCCTTTCGGGGGGATTATTTCTCTTTGCTGGGGCCAGGCGGGCTTAGACGTACGGGCAAACCGGAACGGGCGGACAATCCTTCGGGGGCGTACATCTCTCTGCCCGCCATTGGAATTGGCGCGGGCCCTGCAAGAGGAGGAGGGGAAGAACGAGGGAGAGTGGGAGGAAGGGGAGGGGGAAGGACGAAGGAAGAGGGAAGATACCACGTTGTGAAGGCGTCCTTGGCGCGTGCGTGGTTCCTGAGCGCCGAAACGCAATTCCAGAATAATTTGTGAGGACGTCGCACGCGAGAGCGCAGTCCTGAGTATATTGTGAGGAAATCTCAGGCGGAAGCGGGGGCCCTGACTAAGTTGCGAGGAAGTCTCAAGCGGGAGCGCCGTTCCTGAGCAAATTGCACGGAAGTCTCAGGCGGGAGCGGGGTCCTCACTAAATTGCGAGGAAGTCTCAGGCGGGAGCGCCGTTCCTGAGTCAATTGCGCGGAAATGTCAAGCAGAAGCGGGGGTCCTGAGTAAAATTCGAAGAAGTCTAAGGCGGGAGCGCCGTTCCCACGTAAATTGCACGGAAGTCTCAGGCGGGAGCGGGGGTCTTGATTACATTGCGAGGAAGTCTCAGACGGGAGCGCCTTTCCTGAGTAAATTGCGCGGAAGTCTCAGGCGGGAGCGGGGGTCCTGAGTAAAAATCGAGGAAGTCTCAGGCGGGAGCCGTTGTTGTTGTAGCCCGGGGGGCAGGGGCACAGTTTGAGCAGGAAGACTTTCCTTGAGAAAAAACAAGGTGCGAGCCCCGGGGGTGGCACTTCAATCGAAAAAACTCAATGTGCACCGGTGGGGGGGGATCAACAATAATTATTCTTCAAAAGTGAGAGTTCAACTGGTACACTCCCCAACAGCAAATGCTGCAAAAACCGCCAGCGGCCGCTGCTGGGCAGGCGGCTTCTTGTCCGCATAGGATTAGTTCGGGCGTGTCCCCCTACAGGGGGTCTTCAATGAAATATTAAAAATACCCCCAAAAAACTCAAAGATGCCCCAAAATGGTCGGAAAATAGTCCCCAGACTATTTTTTACCACTTCTGGATATTCCCCCTGTAGAGGGACAGGCCCGACTTCGGCGGCGGACAGCGGGCCCTCTTCAACACGAGCAGGAACTGCTGTTGGGCATCGTGCCCGTGCTCTCCGTGCCCACTTCTCGATCGTCCCGATTTCGGCGGTGGACAAACCTCCCTCTAGCAAACCTCCCCTTATAGTGAGAACGGCCTGGGATCGAAACCGACGGGCCTGGACCCGCAAAAGTGACGGCCGCGACGCCCTCTCGCGAACCGAGAACGGCAAATCTGCTAATCGACGTGTCGCTGCTGGGGGTTCTGTCCAGCGCCGACCGATTTTTGTCAGCCGGGAACATATCCCTATCCCTATGCTGGGCACCTCCTCACCACGATGCCAATCTTAGGGATTCCCTTACTTTTTGAGGGCGAATCCCTGAGATTGGCGTCGCCTTTTGGCGTGCCGATCTTAGGGATAGGGATACAGTCGGGGCCTTGACCTAAGGAACCCTGGATAAGGAACCAGGCCCCTTTTCTCCACAAGTGAGACTTCGATTTCCTATCGAAAAACACAAGGGAGACCTGAGGTAAGCTGCGAAACACTTCAGGAACGCGGAGCCCCTCCCCAACGAAAAGGGTTCCTTCTTCAGGGCCCCGACTGCACTCCAGATTTCGTAATAAAGGGAGGGGGGTCTCATTTCGGGGGGGGGTCTCTTCCAGGCTATCTTGGAGGGCCTGGGGGGGTCTGGGGACGATGTTTTGGAGGGTTCTCCCACGGGGGAGGTCTGAAATGGCTTGTCTTGGAGGGTCCAGACCCCCTCCCTTTTCTTACGAACTCTGGAGTACGCTCGAGGCTGGTAAGATTTGGGGTGCCTCCCCAGCGCGGGGCGGCAGGCTCGGCAGCCGCGGCCCGAGCACGCGCCCGAGAGCGCTCCGCCCCCCGCCGCGGCGGGCTCCGCGCCTGGCCAAGGCCGTAGGCGACCCCGGCGGCCCCGCCGGTGGTCTCGGCGAGCACCTGCGGGGTCGGGCGGCCGGGGCTCGCGCGAGGGCGGCGCCCGAGAGGCCGCCTAAAACGACGCGAAGATCGGGACAAAATCGGATCGGGATCACTCGGAATCTCTGAGAATCGGCGGGTTTGGAGGATGGATTGGGCGCCGCGGCCGCTCCAGAGCGTTCCGGAACGCTCTGAGAGCGCTCCGGAACGCTCTGGAGCGATTTATCCCGATCCTAGCCCTGTTTTAAACGACCACAGCCACTGCTCTTCTTTTGTTGCCGCCTTCCAGCCAGCAGCAACAAAGTGGTGGCTGTGGTCATGTTCGTGAAGCTCTGCGCCAGGGAAAGGACCACAGCCACTGCTTCTTTTTCGGCCGGCTGGAAGGCGGCAACAAACAAGAAGCAATGGCTGTGGTCATTGTCCCGTCCCGCAAGGGGGGCAGCCCCATGCGTCCTGCGATGTGTCTCCCCCCACCATCCTGAATATTGGGATCTTGCTATCGGTGCGTTTTGCTGGGGACCCGGAGCATGGGGGGGCAGCCCCGGGCGTCCTGCGACGCGTGTCTTGGCCCCCTGTCCTGGCTACCTGCCAGACCAGCCCAACCCAAGCCGAAGGCCCGAATTTCGGTTTGGGGGGATACGAGCTTCACATGTGTTTTTGTTTTCAAAAGTTCCGCGTCCCCCCCCCCCCCACTGGAAATGGAGGGCAAAACGGGGCCTTCGGGTTGGGTTGGGGTGGCTTGGTAGGCGGTGATATCCTGAGTGTGGGGATCTTGCTATCGGTGTGCTGTCTCCGCCTCCCCTCCTCCTTCCCGCCCGCCTCCTCCTTCCCTCCTCTCTCCCCCTCGCCCGCACTCGGACCTGCTCGTGCGCAGACGCCCACTCGGCGTCGCTCACGCTCAGAGTCAGTCATACTCAGACTCACTGAGACTCAGGCTCACACGTGTGCAAACTCACTAACAATCAGACCCGCTCAAACACACAGATTCACTCACATTCAGACCCACTCACAGCTTCACACTCGTATAATGAGCCACAAATATTTGGACCACGCTCCCACAAATTCAGTCACTGTAGGACTCGATCACGCGAAGATTGACTTCCACCCCACGTCGCAGGCGTGACACTTGAAGACCCTATTGAGGCGCCGCTAGGCGGTAATTAGAACATTTGGCATGTCGCACCCCAATGTGTGGGGATGTCTCATGCGGTGTGCCTGTTTGGTGGCCCGGACACCTCTTCGCAGCTCCACGCTCTTTGCGATGTAGCAGGCGTGGCACGTGAGCACCCCGAGGAGAAACAGCCAGGAGGTAGGGCATTCGCCCGTGCGCGCCCAGAATGTGGGGATGCCTCGGGCGGTTTCGCTGCGGTGGCCCAGAGTTCCACCTCTTGAGAGCCCCGTAGAGCGGTTGTCGCGGCAACGCAAGCGTGGCAGTGGGGCACTCCGCCGTGGAGGAGGCGCCAGGCATTGGGGCGCCCGCCCGCTCGCGCCCAGATCGCGGGAATGCCTCCGGCGGCTTGCTTCTGTGGTGGCCCAGGGCGCCTCTCTTCAGAGCGCCCCGTGCTCATCGCGGGGTCGGGGCATCTGAGCGCTCCGAGGCGGAGCGGCCAGGGAGGGGTCAAGCATCTGCCCCTTCGCGCCCAGAGTGTGGGGATGTCTCAGGCTGGCTGCCTCTCTGGTTCGCCCGGTCGCGCTGGGGTGCCCAATGCTCGCCGCGGAGCAGCAGGCGTGGCGTGTGGGCCCCCGGGAGGAGCCGACCCCATCTCTGCAAGAGAGCAGGCGAGGCTTGTGGGGGCACTCGGAGGGCGCGCCGCCAAGGGGTGGTGCACATGCCCGTTCGCACCTAGATTGTGGCTCGTTGTGTGCATATTGTGTTTGTTTAGTTTCTTTTGTTGCTTCTTGTTTCTGTTTTCAAGTGTTTGTCTGCTTGTCTTATGTTGTGTGTATGGTGTTTGCTTCTTCTCTTGTTTCAATTGCTTGTTCGTTCGCACCTGGATTGGGGATGCCCTGAGCGGTCCGATGATTAGGGGGCCACATGCGAACCCGACCCCTACCCCCCCACGACTTCTGAGGGGGAGGGTGGGTTTCACTTCGCTCGGAAGCTCCCGAGCGAAGTGAACCCCACCCTGCCCCTCAGAAGTCGTGGGGGGTAGGAGGAGGAGGAGGAGGAGAGGAGGAGGAGGAGGAGGAGGAGGAGGAGGAGGAGGAGGAGGAGGAGGAGAGGGAGGAGGGAGGAGGGAGGAGGAGGGAGGGAGGAGGAGGAGGAGGAGGAGGAGGAGGGAGGAGGAGGAGGAGATGTGGCACCCCCGACGCCTCTCCGTGCCGAGGCGCACGGCCACCGCGAGACGTCCCGGGCGCCCGGGCCCTGCTGGCGCCCCCACGGCGGGGAGCCGCCACGGGGCGCGCACGCCTGCGAGCTCCCCTGGGCTCGGGTCGGGCACGTCTCGGGGATGGACAGACCCCCCTTTAGCAAAACGTGGTTTAGTGAAAACGACCTGAGGCCCAAACCTGGTGGGCGCAAGTCTGGAAAATAACGGCCACGGCGCCCTCTCGAGAACCGAAAACGGACAATTCACTAATCGACGTGTCACTGTTGGGGGTTCTGTCCACCCCCGAACGTCCCCCTGCAGGAGGATTTGGGATTGCAACGTCCAAAAATAGCCAAAAAAACAAGATTCACACACTGTCAACACATACTCAACACACCTCGTCCCCAGGCTATTGGTTTTGACAATGTTCGAAGATTCCTCCTGCAGAGGGACGCGCCCGACCTAACCCTGGGCTCCTCTCCTCCCAGGGGCCCAAAAGCATCCCGACGTGGCAATCCTAGCAGTCGGGCCCTCCGCGGAGGCCGCCAGGGATCGCTCCGTCCCCACAGCAAGCGCTAACAGACAGAGGTGCCAGGAAACTGAGGTGCACATGGTGAGCGTTGTCTGATTCGGCGGTTCGACATTGGGCGGAAGTGGGGAACGCGACTGTTCGCAACAGTGTTTCCTAGGGGCCACCTGCTTGAAGCAGGCGCCAAACATAGCCATGACCTACTCCACGGGGAAGGGGAGGGTGGGGGTGCGAGGACCCGCGCCGATCGGCAAAACAAGGAATAAGAAAATGATTGCATGGACATCTTCTCGCCGAGTAAAGTGTTCAACGAGCTGCTCCTGGACATCTGGCGACGAGAGCGCTGCAGGAGGCCCAGATGGCTTTCCATCTCGAAGCGTTTTCGTTAAGACTCCTGGAGCCAGGTGGTGTCTCTTCGAAGCCGAAGGCCAGCAAACAAGTAGTTGTCTTGATGCTCTCAAGACGTGAGACGTCTGAGGGAGACTTTGTTCGTCTACCAGAGCCGCCTTCGCCGCTGCCTGCACGGCCTTCAGCTCCTCCGCGCGGCTCTTCACCTCCGCGGCGTAGTCGTCCGCGTGCGAGGCGCAGTCCTCTCTTCGACGAGGCTCGGGCACCGCGGTGAAAAGCACAAGTATCGCGGTGGGAAGAAAGGGCCAGAACAGACAAAACCCAAACAAAAAAACAATAACAACGGGCTTGACTGTGTAAAAGACACCTTCACCATACGCGGTGCCGTAGTGTTGGTGACGTGAGCATTTCTTCCAGCCTTAGGTCGGACATGTCCTCCTACAGGCGGATTTTGGGCGATACATGGAAACGTAGATCCAAAAATAATGAACAAAACATGCAAACTACTAAAACAGATCGTCCCCTTAATATGTTTTCATCATCTTCGAAAATGCCCCCTGGAAAAGAACGTGCCCGACTCAATTCTGGCCCCGACCTATCGACCCGAGAAGCTGCCTTTCTGGCAGGGGGGGAGCAGGATCGAGGCTCGAGGATCCACAGCTCGAGGCTCCACAGCTCGAGGCTCGAGGATCTGGGGATCGATGCCTCGAGGATCCAGGTTCGAGGATCGAGGATCCACAGCTCGAGGCTCGAGGATCCACAGCTCGAGGCTCGAGGATCCAGGCTGGAGGATTCACAGCTCGAGGCTCGAGGATCCAGGCTCGAGGCTCGAGGATCCACAGCTCGAGGCTCCAGGATCTGGGGATCGATGCCTCTGGGCTTAGGTCGGGCATGTCCTCCTGCAGGCGGACTCTGGACGGAAATAATAAAACATGTTCAAGCAATTGCCCCCAAAGAAAATCACAGATCATAGAAACATCGTCCCCATACTATTTTCTTTCCGTTTGCTCCTCCTGTAGAGGTACACGCCCGACGTAATTCTGGACGCCCGCCACCCTCTCCGGGCCTCCGCGGGAGGCCCCTCGTCGCAGCAGAGGCGGCGAACCCTCGCGAGCGAGCCTGGCCAGGCGGCGCTCCGGCAGAACAGGCCGGGGCGCCGATGCGCGACCCCGGCCCCGTCGGGGGCCCTCGGGCCGCTGGCCTTCCGGCGCGAGCACCATCAGGCGGCGAGCTCGGGGGGGGGGGGGGGCAGCGGGGCGGGGCGGGCCTTTCCTCAGAGGGCCCCCGGCACTCTCCGGGCCTTCTCGCTTTCCCCCTCCCCCCGCTCGCCGCCGAGCCGTGCCTCGGTGCCGACACGAGGGCCCTGCACACGCGGAGGTGCCGTGGCCGTGCCGCGGAGCGGCCGTGCCGCGGCGCAGCTGCGCCTCCCTTCGAAGAGCCTCGGAGCACCGAGCGGGGTGCGGCGGCAGGGGTGTTGGCGGCGCGCACCAGGGGGTGGGGGGGAGGGGGGAGGGCTTCTTGGAAGCACCCTGCTTCTCAGGCGCTGGCCCTGTAGCTACAGATGCTAGGTCCGCGCCTTCCAAGAAGCAGGGGTGCTTCTAAGAGGCCCTCCCCCCCTCCCCCCTGTGCCACCCCCCTCTGCGCGTGGCTGAGGGTGCCTGACACGCGCGCGCGACACACGTGCAACAGACAGGACGAGCGCGCGCGCGCGACCGCCGCCAAAATGGCAGCGACTCCGGCAGGTTGCTTGTTTCAATCGCGGCGCTCTTCTCCATGGACTGGGGGGGGAGCCTCTTGCGAGCCCCGGGGCAATCCCGACCATCAAGCGTGGAGCCAGGACGGAAGTCCTGCCCCACTCCCCGCGGCAATGGGTCGAGGTCTCTGGGGCCCACGGGATTGAAACATCACACCCTCGCATGTCTGGAGAGGTGTAGGGGAGAGAACGAACGAACAGCCATACGCCGTTCAGCGCGTGGGCAAAACCATTACGCGCAAATCAGCGCAGCGGAAAATATGCAGTGCAGCCTCGTCAGGGGGGAGGGCAGTGGGGGAGGGAGGGGGGGAGGGGAGAGGAAGGGGAACAAAGAACTGGGCAAAACTGACCCGGTCTTACCTCCTGCCAGGACGCGCAGGCAATGCAGGGGGGGGAGGGAGGAGGGGACTCCACCAAGAAGAAAACAAAATTATCCCAGTGCGACCCTACCTAGGAGTTGGAACCCCTAGGAAAGCAGCATTAGTAGTAACAGTAACGCTAAGCTAAAGCTAAGCTAAAGCTAAGCTAAAGCTAAGCTCAAGCTAAGCTGCAGCTAAGCCACAGCTAAGCTAACGCTAAGCTAAATATATGCTAAAGCTAAGCTAGAGCTAAGCTAAAGCTAAGCTAAAGCTAAGCTAAAGCTGAGCATCAGCTAAGCTAAAGCTAAGCTACATCTAAGCTACAGCTAAGCTAACTCTAAGCTAACGCTAAGCTAAAGCTAAGCTAAAGCTAAGCTAAAGCTAAGCTAAAGCTAAGCCAAAGCTAAGCTACAGCTAAGCTACAGCTAAGCTCAAGCTAAGCTAAAGCTAAGCTCAAGCTAAGCTAAAGCTAGTCTAAACGCTAAGCGACAAACTAAGCGAAACGCTAAGCTAAAACTAAGCTACAGCTAAGCTAAAGCTAAGCTAAAGCTAAAGCTAAAGCTAAAGCTAAAGCTAAAGCTAAAGCTAAAGCTCCCAGGGGACTGGGAGGAACCGCTCCCAGGGGACTGGGGGAACCGCCCGGGGCGTGTTGCACTGCCCGGCCCCTTTAAGCTAAGAGACTAAGAACCCTTCTAGGCAGAGCCGAGGTAGGGAAAAAAACAAAAAAACAAAAAAAAAAAAAAAACGAACGAGGATCGCCCTCCCTTGCCTCGACGTGCGCGTCCTCCCGGGCCACGCACGCACCTCGGAGTGCAGGGCCGCCTCGGGGGGAGCCCCCAGGGCACCACCTCTGCGGGAGGCCCCCGTCCTCTCCCCCCCCCCCGCCGGCGCGAGCGGCACAGAGCCGAGCGCCGGCGCAGGGGCTCCCGCGTCGGCCCCCCCCTTTGTCGGGCGTGGCCTTAGGTCGGGCCTGCCCCCCTACAGGGGGATTTCCGACGACAAAAAAAATACACCAAAAATGCCCCAAAAAGACAAAAAAACAAATAGTCCCCAGACTATGTTTTTGATTAATTTTTTGTATATTTTTTGTGTATTTTTAATTCTTCGTCGAAGATCCCCCTGTGGGGGGACAGGCCCGACCTAGGCGTGGCCGGCGATGCGATCAATGGCCCTTCGGGAGACCGGCCCGATCAGGCCGCGGGCTCCGTACCCCCCGACGCAGGCCCCCCGTCTTCGACCTCCGGCAGAGGAGCGAGGGAGGCGCAGCTACGACGCGGAGGACAGAGGCGTGGGCAGGAGGGGTCTAGCTGGGATATATGGCCGTCAGACCATCTGGGCTGGCACGTGTGACCGAAAAACAGTGGTGCAAAGGCCTCGCCGACCCTCGGGCCTATCCCGAGCGACCAGGCGTGACCTACTTCGAACTGCCTCCCTGTGGTGGGCAGGGAGGGGATGATGGGAAGGACGAGGAGGAGTCGAGGCAGAGGGAGGACGAGGACGACGAGGATCTCAGACGGCCGTTCGTGACGACTCGGGCACCCCCGGAACGCTCTCGGCGAGGCGCAGCTGCTGGAGAGAGCAGCCCGAGGCCGGAACACCACGGAGAACAAGCGAATACTGCCCCAAATTACCGACGGGCGCCGCTGCCGGCACGCTCTCGGCGAGGCGCAGCTGCTGGAGAGCAGCACGAGGCGGGAATACCGCCGAGCCGTGACGAAACCTATTCGAAGGAGAACCGGGGGGGACGGTGGGTGGACAAAAAGTGTCCACACACATGACGCTAAGTTGATACAACATCCAAAGGTGTCGAATTAGTATCCGTAGTCCCCGCCCCGCCAACCCACAGTTCACAGGGTTGCATGCGAGGCAACGCGCGGGGGACAAAATATGGACACTTCAACTTGGGGTTTGGGGGTGAGGGGGGGCGAGCCACATGTACATTGCAATTGTCGTTGCCATCACAGAGGGGCGCGCACGACTCTGGCGCTCGCGCCGCTGCCGCCTCTGTCTCTCTGATGGGCCTGTCTTCCACCACCACCACAAGTTGGAGGGGGGAACGAGGTGGAAGATCAGGAGGAGGAGGAGGAGGAGAAAGAAAAAGAGGAGGACCCCCTCCACCTCCTACTTCTGGTGGTGACGGTGGACAGCAAGCCCACCACCTCTCCCCCTCCCCGCTCCCTCTCCCGCTCCGCTCCCTCGCGGGCCAGGCGCCTGGGCCGCGACCCAGCGGATACGGCGCGTCTTTCTCGCGGGTGCCCCGCGTGGAAGGTGCCCGTGCGACCGCGCATCCGCGGGATCGCGCCCAGGAATCCAGATTGCGAGCGCGCGGATACGGACACGTTCGCCGCTCGTGATTACCGTTTTTCCTTCCGTTCGCACCCCCCTGTCTTCGGCGTGCCTGATTGTCTTCACGCCGTCGGCGTGGACACATTTTGTCGGGGCACCAGAGGCGGTGGAGAAAACGCGCGGCGGAGCGAGGGAGGTGAGACAGAGGGGGACACGCCAGCGGCTCCACCAGGCAGTCCTGCCTCTCCTCGTCTTTCCTCGCCTCGTCCTCCTCCTCCTCCTCCTCCTCCTCTTCCTCCTCCTCCTCCTCTCCTCGTCCTCCATCCCCCTCCCTCCTCCTCCTCCTCCTCCTCCTCCTCCTTCTCCTCCCCTCCTCCTCCTCCTCCTCCTCCTCCTCCTCCTCCTCCTCCTCCTCCTCCTCCTCCTCCTCCTCCTCCTCCTCCTCCTCCCCCCCTCCTCGCCCTCACCCTCGATCCACTTCCTCGGCCTCGTCCCTCCCCCATTCGGTACTCCCCCTCTCGGTCATCCTCGTCCTGGACGTGTCCCTCGGTGCGTCCTCGGAGGCTTTGGGGGGAGGCTCCTGGAGGTCTCTGCAGGAGGGCTGTGGATGCGTGAGAGCAACGACAACACCGATCTTCCCCGTGTGCAGGTGCACCATCGAACTCCAGTTGTCGCTTCCGCCTTGTCCCTCAACCATGCTATAGCCAAACTACAAACATATACGGCGAGGTCAATGGATAAGGAACCATTGGGTAAGGAATCCTGGGACTGCAAGCCTGCAAACCTCCAACTGAGGACTGGCCATGGATATCACTGAAGCCCTGATCAGATAAGGAGACCTTCAGAGACTGAAGCCTCATGGGCACATTCCTTTACCAACACCCCCGCTGCAAGTGACACTAAATCTGTGGGGCTCCGGGGCCCAGAAATTTTGCTATCTCTTGGGGGATACTTTGTTGCTTCCGCTGGCCTTCCACTTGCTTCCGCCAGAAAGACCGCACACATATTACTTCCGAAACCTTCCGCCAACTCCCGCCGGCCTTCCGCCAGCCTTCCGCCGCCTTCCGCCGAGAAAGAGATGTAATATTGAAAGGTCTTTCGGCCCCCTCAATGGGGGTATCTAACTGTCTGTTCGGCGGCCTTATTGAAGGACTGGGGTCCCACCGATAGAGGGTAACTATTTGTCACCCGCCGCGCAACAAGAGAGAGGAGGAGGAGGAGGAGGAGGAGGAGGAGGAGGAGGAGGAGGAGGAGGAGGAGGAGGAGCGGGAGAAGGAGGAGGAGGAGGAGGAGGAGGAAGAGAAGGATGAGGACGAGGAGGAGGAGGAGGAGGAGGACGAGGGAAGACGAGGAGGAGGAGGAGGAGAAGTAGGAGGTTTTAGGACCAATCCTATTCACCGCCAAGAGAAAAAAGGGGGGGGCACTGACCTTTAGCGGCTCACTCCTTCGATCCCTTGAAGGCGAGGCCCTTTCCGGAGCGCGCCCCCCCCAAACAGGAACGACACCTTTTTCTGGGGGGGGGGGGGGGCGGGCCGAAAGCGCCTTGATGCACGAAATGCGCTACAGGAAGCAACCGTGGAAGGACCTGGCGAACGAACGAGCCCCTTTCCGAGCCCGAAAGGGCTTCTCAGTTCAGCATCTCGGCTGCACTCCCGAATCTGGGGGGACAGAAACGTACCGATACCGCTACATTTGAGTCGGGGCGTGCCCCCCTACAGAGGGATTGTCAACGAAAAATAAAGAATGCCCCAAAGATACACCAAAAATATCAAAAAATGTTCAAAGCATAGTCCCCAGACTATTTGGACTATTTGTTGTGTTTTGTTTTTGCTATTTTGGGGTAGTTCTTGATTTTTGGTCGAAAATCCCCCTGTAGCGGGACAGGCCCGACTTAATTGTACTCCCAAATCTGGTGGGACAGAAGCGTACCGACACCGCTACATCGCCCGGGGCAGAACGCCAGGGGCACGCGCTGACCAGGCCTTCGAGGGGCGAGCCCGGCCGAGGGGGGACGAGGGAAGGGAAGGGAAGGGCCTGCGGTGTCGGCATCTGTGAAGGGGCCCCAGGACACAAATAAATACACACACATAAAACTATTCCTCATATTTTCCCATAGTTTCGGGGTTTCTGTCTTCCCCCCCACATCCCATATTTTCCCATATTTTCCGTGGAATCGACGATTAATTGTGTCTGTGTGTTTTTTCCCCTCCTGAATCTGGTGCCCCCCTGACCCATGTCCTGCCTCTGATCGCAACGTCCACTATGCTAGAGTTCGGTCGGGCGTGTCCTCCCTCCGACAGCCGGATTCAGGAGGAAAAAGGCAAAATAGTCAACACAAACCCAGAGTCAAAAATAGTGAAAAATCGCCCCCAGATTACTGTTTGACTATTTTTTTTAAAAGGTTCCTCCTGTCCCACGAATTCCTTGCGCGACGTGGGCCCACCCCCTCACAAGGACCGGCTCTTTATCCTGATTCGGTACTGGACGGGTTCCCACAAAAGGAAGCGACATCCGCAAGGCCGAAGCCGTAGAAACATCTGCCGTCACCGTTTTTGATAACGACGACTCGGTCTGAGGGAAGCGCAGCAGCTGCGGCGAGTCGGGGAACAACAGCACAAGCATAACTTGTCTGAGGTTCGCTCGGACCTCCTGGATCAGCGCTGCACCCCCCTCCCTCGCGCGCGGAGCGCGCTAGGGACGGCGCCGGAGGCGCGCCAGGGGGGGCCCAGCGCCGATCCGATGAATCCGCGCGGAGATCCGAGACGATATGCTAGTGCCGTCTCTTGCTCTCCGAACGACCGAGCGGGCCGCATCGCACGGCCGAGTCCTTCGTGACGTCGGCCAGGGACGCCTTGTCCCCGGCCAGGTCCTGGCTCGCCGCGGCAAGCTGCCCCTGGGCCTCGGACTTGGCCTCGGCGCTGGCGGCGGAGGACTTCTTGGCACTCTCCAGGTCCTCGGCTCGGGCCGGGGCCGCGGCCGTCGCCGCCGAGGCCAGCGGAGGAAGCACAGCCATCGTGCGCGGCAGGAGGGGGCTCCGAGTCCGCAGCGAAGGGGGCTTCCCCGCCCACGGGGGGCCTCGCCACCACGGCAGGGCCCGCGAGCTGGATCGAAGGAGCGGCCCAGAGAGCAGAGCCCACTGATGGGCATGTTTTTCACCACCACCATAAGTTGGAGGGGGAGGGGGTCCTCCTCCTCCTCCTTCTCCTCCTCCTCCTCTTCCTCCCCCTCCTCCTCCGCCTCCTCTTCGCCCTCCTCCTCCTCATCCTCCTCCTCCTCCTCCCCCTCTCCAACTTATGGTTCTGGTGGTGGTGGAAAACAAGCCCATCACCCATCCAAGCCCAGATCGGAGAGACGTAAGACTCGGGTTAGGGGGACTCGAGTTGGCCCAACGAGGGCATCATAAAAATGACGCGACCCAATCTGAAATTGGACGCGGGCTCCCGCTGCAGACATCCCACGAAAACGGGACCGTCAAAGTGCAGGACGGGCTCGCCAAAAAGCCTGGGCGAACCCGAGCCCCGGCGTGTACCCAAATCGCACGGTTCCCCGACAAAGAGTGGTCCTTACATCCGCGTGACAGCCTGGACGCTCGCCTCTGACATGAGGGGCAACGATAGTAGGGGGGGGGGCTGGCATAGGGGGGATGCATCGACCTGAAATCGGCGATACATCGCCGATAGATCGGCGATAGGCCTCTGATAGTGAATCCGCACCTTCATGCGCAGGTTTGGGCTATCGGGCCCCTATCGGCGATGAATAGGGCGATTGGGGGTCGATGCATCCCCCCCTATGCCAATCCCCCCCTATGGTTGCCCCTGATGACACCGCGCGGACCGCTCAGCCCTGGAACGACGGCGCAAGCCGCTCGGCATCGACGACGGAGCCAGGGCCACTCGCGGCGTGCCGCCTTCCCCGCCCGCGCAGACCGTGGTCGCCGCCCTGGGCATCCGATGCATTGTCTTTGTGCAGCACGTTGTCTCGGCAAGTCCCGACCCTTTGGTCCACGGCTGGTGTTTCATCCTGAGTGGTTCTCGACGCTCCCCAGGGGTCATTGCACCGGCCTTGCAGACGTGCTGCAGCGGATTTCTGCGTGGATTCTTGCCCGAGGCGGCGAGCGAAAAACGAAGTGAATTTCGCCTGGGTTTTATTTGGTCTTCATTCCTGGCCCCAAAAATCCGCACGAAAGTCACTTCGAAACCCGAAACGGCAATTCTCCAGGACGCCCCGGGCCCACCCCTTCGTTTTCCGAGCGAAATCCGCTCTGCGATGCTGGCGCCATGACAGGGGTCCACTGAGGGCCCCTGGAGGCCGAAGACCTCTGAGACAGTGTCCCACAAATAAATACACACAAGTAACAAAATTCCCCATATTCTTAAATATGTTCTGGGTTTTCGTCTTCCCCCCCACTTCCCATATTTTCCTGTATTTTCCCGGGGAATCGACGATGAATGGTGTGTCTGTGTGTTTTTTTCCCTCCTGAGACAGGTCGGTGCTGGAGTGCTCAGGGCGTTCGATGTCTGGGGCCGCGCCGGCACGCCTCACACCTGCCGTTCGAGGGCCGGGGGAGGGGGTGGGTCGGGTCCGGCCGAAAGGGGGGGATAGCAAAGGGGGGGGTGAGAATCAGCTCACGTAGCTGATTCTCCCAGCGCCTCCCGGCGCCAGACGCGGCCATGTGTCGAGGAATGGGCCCCTCGGCGAGGCCGAAACCAGCTGCATGCAGCAAATTTCGTACCCCCCCCTTCCCCAATCCCCCCCTTTCGCCCGGCCCGAAGTTTATCCATGTGCACCGCCCGGTGCCCCAGCGGGCGGTGGATGTGGATCTATTTGGGGCCCCGGGGGCCCGAATGTGTCCGTATCCACCGCCTGCCGAGGTCCCCGAAGATTGATCCATGTATGAATTCCCGCCTCGAGCACGGGTCCCCTGAAGTCCCCACCCTTTCCCCATGCCTGGTCTTTCATCGCGAGCCGTTGTTTGACGGCCCCAGGGCCCGGCAGGGGCCCTCGCCGAAGACTCCCAATCCCCCCCCTTTCGCCCGACCCGAGTGGGAGAGGGCACGGCCGTGGCCGCCGCCCCGAGGCCAGAGGGGGGCCGGGCGTGAGGACCGCCGGGGCCGGCGGGGCGTTGTCGCCTCGCCGGCGTCGTCGTCGGTGCTCCTCGTCCTCCCCGTCCCGGCTTTTGTCCTGCCACGCTTTCCTCCTCTTGGGATCGCGAGGGTCGTCGTCGTCCTCGTCCTCCCCCTCCTCCAACTCCTCCTGCTCCTCCTCCTCCTGCTCCTCCCCCTCCTCCTCCTCCTCCTCCTCCTCCTCCTCCTCCTATCCCTCCTCCTCCTCCCTCCTCCTCCTCCTCCTCCTCCCCCCTCCTCCTCCCCCCCCTCCTCCTCTTCCCTCCTCCTCCTCCTCCTCCGCCTCCTCCCTCCCCCTCCCTCCTCCTCCTCCTCCTCCTCCTCCTCCTCCTCCTCCTCCTCCTCCTGGTTCTGGTTCTGGTTGAGGCGCACCCAAGTGGGGCGCGTTGGTGCCGAAGCCCCGGGCAAAGGGCAGGCATACGCAGTCCCGAGTAGGGCGCTGGCAGTGGGGCAAATGCCCGGCGCGCGTGCCCGCTCCCATGGGGGCCGGGTGTCGCTTCATGCGAGACAGTCGTAGGGGCCCCCTGGGAGCCGCGCCTGCCACGTCGCCAAATGGCGGAGCGCAAGTGCGCGAGCGCAAGTGCGCGTGTTGCCAACTGGCCGCATCGACACGGGGATCCTCGTCGTCTTCCCCCTGCCCGCCACAGCTCCACCACCACCAGCCAGGCGAGGGAAAAGGGGAGAGGGAGGAGGGCGGCGGGAGGAGACGCCCCGGGGAGGGGGCAGCCAGGTGAGGGACGAGCAGGGGAGAGGAGGGAGGAGGAGAGAGGGTGACCGAGCATAACGGTCTGGACGTTCATCCGCCCACGGTGGGCGCAACAAAGTAAAACCAGGTTCGGACGGCCGGATTCGAAGACAGCGTGTGTGTCACGGACGCGGTGCGCAACCTCGGTCGTGTTACGGAAACGGTGCGGCGGCTCAGGGGTAGGGGGGCGGTGGCAACGCCACTTCCTGCGCCGAAGGCTGTCCGGCGAACGTGGCCGAAACTATGCTGTGCCTGGGGGGGGCAGGATTAGTTCGCCCAGACCGTCTGGTTGGGCCCGAAGATTCACCTTCCCTGGGGCAACCCCATAGCAGGGCATCACAAAGCAGGCCCATCCCGCGGCTTCCTTCCAGTCGCCAGGAGGAAGGGAAGGAGGAGGAGGAGGAGGAGGACGAGGAGGAGGACGAGGAAAGGACGACGACGACAGCGACGACGACGGGAGGAGGGGGAGGGAGACAAGGCCGCAAGGGGGGCTGGCAGTCGAGCCCAAGCTACGGTCGACATCACGTAGCAGACTTAGTTGTAGTGCCGGGCGTGCAGCGGGTCGATGGTCGCAAGTGCGCCCCTCTCGCCTTTTGCGGGGGCCAACCTGCAAGTGCAGGCGCCGCCAGGTGGCGGGAAAACATCCGAGGCACGCTGAGACGCAAGAGGAAGAGGGGCACGACGGTAATACATCGGGGGTCACTTTTTCTCGGCCACTCGGCCTGGACACGATAGCTTACACCACGCACCGAAGCCGGCCGGCCTGTGGCCGAAAAGGTCGCAGCGCTCTGACAGAATTGGGAGCCGAATCCGAACGGTGGCACGAGGGGGGCCCCCGAAACAGCCGGCGCCCCGCAACAGCCGGCACCGCCGAAAGGGGGAGGCGGAAAAACAACGGGGCTTTTTCTCGGCCACTCGGCCTGGACACGAAAGCTTGCACCACGCACCGAAGCCGGCTGGCCTGCGGCCGAAAAAGTCGCAGCGCCCAGACAGAATTGGGAGACGAATCCGAACAGTGGCACGAGGGGGGGCCCCTGAAACAGCCGGCGCCCCGCAACAGCCGGCACCTCCGAAGGGGGAGGCCAGCCCGTCGGATTGGAAAGGGAGCGAACCTACAGACACACACCCTCGCGCTGCTAGCCCGAAGGTAACGGCCACGCGGCCGGGAAACGAAAGCAAGCACCACACACAGGAGATCGAAGGTCCGCGGAGGCCCCAGAGGTGTCCTCAAAAACACAGGGCAAAAGGACAACACGAACCTGCAAGTAACGTGGAGAGGCACAGAGGCCCCGCGAACCGGAAGAGAGGGACGGAGGAAGAGGACAAGCGAGGTGCCAGACAGAGTCACAACTCCCCCACGAAAGTGAGAGACAGAAAACCACCAGGGGCCCGGGGGCGAGTCACGGTTACCTCCGGGCGCAGAGGGGCCCCAAGAGAGTCAAACGGCAAGCGGGAAGACCGGCAGGCCGAGGGAAGCCCGGCAGGCCGGACACAGGCGCCGACGGCGACGGCGACGGCGACGGCGACGGCGACGGCGACGACGACGACGACGAGGAGGACGACGACAACAACGACGGCGAAGAGGCGCCTGCAGCGTGGGTAGCCGCGGCACGATCGCAGACGAAGCACAGTCCTGCGAGCAAGGCCGAAACACGAAAGCCGCCCCACGAGCTCCCCCGCGCGCGCTCAGGTTCTAGCGAGAGGAAGAGAACTCGGGGGCGGACGAAGTCCAGACCGAAACACTGCCCTGCCCGAGAGGCGCGAAGCGCGGACACTAAGGTGAGGGGAGGAAGATAGAGGTCACGCAAGTGCGGCGCCTGCCAGTGCAGGCCTCGCCGAATGGCGAGTGGGAAGAGGGGAGGCCAACTCCAGCCCAGCCCTGCCGTCAGGCGCGCGACGGTGCCAGAGGACTACCCCACGGACAACACGCGGCACGCGCCCCGGGTCACGCTGCGGGAGCCTCCATGATAGCGCCGCGGCCGTACGGGATGTCCGCGACATCCACGCCAGTCGAAGTCGACAGGCGCCCTGGCCGCGTGCGCGAAAGCGCCTGTTGCGGCCCCGGTCCAGCTGACTGGTCCTGGG